ATAATGTATGAATATATTGTGCATTCTTAAATTTTACTTAGATCTATATCAAGGCTATATCTTTCATATTTCAATATACAACATGAAAGAAGCGCAAAACATCTACATATATGAGATTTATATTATTCTTATTTTGCATATTTGTTTTGGATTGATGAGGCGAACACTACTGTTGTTCTACATGTTTCATCTTGCTGACTGAGCCGCGTATCTTCAAGGTTGGGTCAACCTTTGGTAGGTAGTTCTTGGCAGCTTAAAAGAGAATTGCTTTTATCGGTGATTGTTATGGGGCATCATGGTGATATGATTGGGATAACCAATATATATAGTGATATGCTTGGTGGTTTGAATTTAAGAAAAACACCATTTTTTTTTCATCCTACCTGGGACGGTGATCCCAAATGACGAGCATTGGCGATGACGATGTTGTGCAATGGCGACCGGAGGAAGTCTCCAGGTGTTGGCGGTTTGATCCATTGCTGATGGGAGGTGGGGATCGGTGATGAACTGTGGATCGCCATCAGAACTGCGGGGAGGAAACTAACAGGATCCTACAGGATCAAAATAGTCGTATGTATTTTCACAGGATATGTCCTGATATATACGTGTATATACATATACATAGATAAAGCTGGTGACGGACATACACTAAATTCACATCATTTTAATTTTGTTCTTGACAGATTTCCAGTATATATATATTATATACATATATATATATATATATTGGATAAGCCAAATTACGTACACCAAGGGAACTATATATTATATATATACATATATCTATGTGTATGACTCGGTCCGTGGCCTTCCGCACCCCGGAAGGGTAGGCGTACATTACATGATACATTGTACATGTATAGATTGTATAATAATTATTATATATAGATGTTAAGATGATGTATAATGTATATAAGGTATGATTACATACATTATACATGCACAATCATATGATATATATATACATATCATATGTGTATATATATATGCATATGATGTACTATTCACAGTTACTCCGTTGTACAGATATGAAAAACAAAATGCCAATACCATCGGCCCAGGTGAGGCGTTGGTGTGACGGCCCCGCCGTGACTCTCGCCCGGGTCGGCGAGCCCAGAGGGTGGCTGAGGAGATGGAAGACATTGAACGAAAATCGTCATTTTTAATACATAAGACATGACAAAACATGATAAATTGCCTAAAAATGGGTCAGTTTCCATAGCAATGTTAGCTACTATACTAGGATATATAGTATATACTTTAACAAACTCAGTGATTTAGAGCAGTTGTCAGCGTTGATCCGATGGCCAGGTGCATGGCACAACGGCTGATCCGTTGGGATGCCTGGAAAACCGCAGTGATGACCAGCAGATGTGAAATTGTAATCATACACATACATACATACATACATACATACATACATACATACATACATACATACATACATACATACATACATACATACATACATACATACATACATATATATATATATATATATACATATGTATATATATATATACATACATATATATATATATATATACATGTATGTATATATGTATATATGTAAATATGTATATATTATACGTCTAAACAAAGACATTTACACAGCTATCGGAGAATGATCTTCGCCCTATGAATCGGATTCTAAGGAATTTGTTCGAAAAAGTCGATTGACCAAACCCTCACAAGAGTCATTTGGTACAAAGTGGTGGGGTATGTGCCGAAGACCCTTGCTTTGTGTCCATTGAGAAGTCTTTTTCTATGAAGGATCGGAAGCACGAGACTAGATTAAATGGGACACATAGAAAGGTATGACATTTGCAAAGCACCAAAAGCAACTTACCCACTTCAAACATCCTTTGGCCATTTTGAAATGGAACAGATACACATTTTCAACCATCCTTTTTTTCACGATCCCAACGTGCCATATCTGGGGCTCCCGCTTCGAAGTCCTCCAGCTGCTTGGAGGCTATTTCACCATCCTGGGGCCTTGCCCTGAATCCCTGCAGGCGCGACCCAGTGGATTCAAGGGAGAATTCACGGATGAAACCATTGAAAAACCCTGATTTTCATGGGAAAAACATGGGAAAAACCCATGGAGAAATCCGTTTCAAGGATGATTTTCCCACGCACATCGCTGGTGATGCCTCAAGTTCATTTATTCAAACTTTTATGATAAGCAAAGAGCGAGAAACCTTCAATTAATGTACCACTAAAAATAATTGGCGTAAAAAATTGTAGAATATGATTTTGCTCAAATCTGAGTCCCCAAACAGATCGCAAAGTAATTTTCCTACTAAAACAGTGTTGTCGATGACTTCAGGGGGAAAAAGTCGAGCAGTTGGGGAACTCCCTAAACTTGAAGCTGCTGAATTTCCCATTCATCTTTATTGGTATGTGACAATTCTTCATCCGATTCTCATTTTTTCTCGTTTTCTGCCAGTTCCATATGTTCCATGTATTGGATCAAGATTTTCGTTGGTTCACTTCCGGTTTTTGTTGGTGTCCATCCCATTTGTTTGATTCAGTTTCCATGTTTTTCGGTTGTGATATGTTGTCTTGCCATAAATTATTTTTCACACATTTACTTTTAACAAAGCTGTTTTCATCCCAACTTTTCACTGATTGACCCCCCCCCCTGTGATGTGCTTTGGGCACCAGGAGGGCTTGAAATCGCTGGAGCAAGGCGCGCGAAATGTTTCCGGGATTTCAGTGTGGGCTGTGCTTGCTTCCTTTGTGGGGCCGGGCATGTGCCAGAAAATTGCTAAACAAATCGGGATATCCCAGTATATCTAAAGCACTTCTGGAAAGACAAAGCTAAGATATCTGTGTATACACGTAATGTATATGTGTACACCTACATACAATATACTGTACAATGTATGTTTCCATATCTGGACAACCCATTGTTGGTAAAGCTAGGTTTGGCAGTTTGACGGCTTGAGTCTCAGCCATAGAGGAGCTGAGTTTAGCTAGCCCCAACAAGATACTTCCATTAGCATGATCTATCTTGCCCTGTGCTTACAAAGGTCCTAATTTTATATAATTACTTCTCCAACAAAATGCAGGTGATAATCCTAGGTGTCTAAACCCAAATTATATGATCCAGACACTCGTCTAACAATTTAGTTGTCCAAATGCTAACCTTCATGTGCGCACACCCCTTTACCACGGATTGCAGACAGATTGTGCTGGCAGCTCAATACACTGTAAAACGAGAAAGCCTCTGGTTATTTTTCCATGGTTTGCTGGAAAATCAGCCTTAAAGTAATCGATAAATCCTCATGTTTATATATCTATTTCTATGGGCTATTGACTTCCAGTTTGCAAAGTGTTAAATCACCACAGAGTGATGTATCAGGCCACCCTTGATGAGCGCAGGTACCAAGGCCCAAGACGTGACTTTCAAAGCCACTGCTTTGGAACGATTCCCTTTGGAGGACTCTGGGGGGTTTTAGGGGTTGTTCGGGAAGTCGAAACATGGGATGCGTGTTTTGCTTTTCTACATTACTTTTTTTTTTTTTTTAATCCTAATGCCCACATTATACAAGATGACATACATACATACATAACATAACATTACATAACATTACATAGCAATACATAACATTACATTACATTACATTAGATTACATCATATTATATTATCTTATACTATACTATACTCATATTATATCATATTATATTATATCATATTATATTATATCATATTATATTATATCATATTATATTATATCATATTATATTAATTATATCATAATAAATTATATTATATTATATTATATTTTATTATATTATATCATGTTATATTATATTATTTCAAATCATATTAGATTATATTATTAAATCATATTATATCATGTCATATTATATTATATCATATTATTTTATATTATATCATATCATATTATATTATACTATACTATATTATATTACTATATATATAAAATATTACTGTATATTATACAATATAATATAATATAATGTACTGTAATATAATATAATATGATATGATGTAATATAATATGATATGAAATATAATATGATATATATATATACATTTGTCTGGTCTCTACTATGGAGGAGTAGCCTCAATGAGTTCATGAAGATCGCGTTGCGTTGGAACGCCCATTACATCTCTAAGATGTTTGGGAGCCATCTCAGAATGGACAAGAGGCCACTGCAAAGTTAGGCCCAGGATCAAATGACTTGTCAACTTTTGGGAATGGACTTCTCCATTTGTTCATAGGGCCAATTCTAACCTGGACATGTTTGGAACCCTAATCTGGGAAGCTTGGCGCATGTGCCGAGATCGGGAGCCAGGATGATGATGTGCCACTGAGCCCTTTGCTCCAAACCTTGCCAGAGTTTTGCTTCAAGGCCACCGATGTCAGGTGACAACTGGGGACAGGGATAAACCCCACAGTATGTAGCTGTTGAAATATAGGCAAGATGATGACTAAGCAGTAGATTCAATGGGGTACCCTATTTCAGACAAACCCAACGGAAATTCGTTGGGACTCCAATGGAACCACGGGCTTTTGCTGCGACACTTGGATGTATAAATAAGGCTCCAAACCTTTCAGAAGCAAACTTGGCTGCATCATTGGCATGAGAAGAAACAACTGGGAGAAAACCGAAAACCATCCATCATGTGTTTGTAAAAACTTTTAAAACCCAAATCCGACTTGACAACTTCGACGAGACTGAGGAAACCTTGTCTTGCTAGCTGCTAGCTCGCTCAATTTGGTGCCACAAAGGGGTGAATATTTCATCCTAATGTAGCTGTTGCCTTTAAAGCGGATGGTCAAATCCCTATTTTTGTTAGTTGACTCCACATTATTGTTGATTGAAATCCACTGAATCCATTTTTTTTTTGGATAACTCAAATCGGACTCACTAAATTTGAATCTTTGTTGGAAACGATTCCAATTTTTTAGTGGGACAATCACCATGTTCGTTTCTTAGCACCGTTCTGCTGGTGAAAAATCCTCATGATTTGTAGGGTACGATCGGCCACTGCAGGGGGTCCGCAGGACGGGTTGCAACTGTTGAGCGTGAAACCAAGCCCTTCGCCTTTCTTCGCCTCCTTCGTCTTTAGCACGGAGAAGGGGGGCCGGGATACCCAGCACCTAACCGTTACCGGTAGGTCAGCGGTGGAGCAAGTGGGGTATACCAGCCACATGGCTGTTGAAGAAAACTGGGAGTATCATAAACCACTGGATTTAAAGGGAGCATTTTAAGACTAAACCACCTAGATGTATATAAGTAGAGATTCGTTTCACAAATCTTTTCAGGGTAAATATATTGAGATTGTTGGATAGTGCGGAATAGATATAGCCAATGGGTATTTGAAGTGTTGGATCACGCCATGAAACCTGAAGGAACCATGGAAAGTCGCAGCCCTCCCAGGAAACAGGGTTCTGCTGATGCTCACTGGCTATATCCAGAAGTTGTCTGAGTTCCATCGAGTGATTTCGAGTCACCCTCCGGCGAACATGTACTGGACGGAAATCCATCTCAGTTTTGGGGAACATCATGCACCGGTGGATCTACTGTATATACGTATATAATTGTGTAAATATATATATATACATACACATATTATGTATGTATGTATATATATATATATTTATATCTATATATCTATCTATCTAATCTATCTATCTATCGATCTATCGATCTATCGATCTATCGATCTATCTATCTATCTATCTATCTATCTAACTATTATATAATTTATTATATAATATAATAGGTATGGGGGAGTTCCCATTGCCAAGTCCGATCGGAGTGCAACATTGCGCAGCTGCTGGCCCGGACCACTTGGTAAAACAAGAGTCAAAGCCAGGCCTTTTGTTGAGTCTCAAGGCGGCAATTGGCAGTTGCTTCAGTTGTTGACCTTGGCTTTTTGGTGCCTGCTGGCAGGGCTGAACACACATCGCTTTGTAGCCAGTCTGTGTTTCAGTTATTCCACGTTGCCAAGCCTCTAATCTTTGGGGATTGGAATTGAGAACAGTGACATAGAGATCCAAGCAATCGATGCGACCAGCTCAATTTGCACTTCAGTTGCTGGAATTGGAACAGCTCACTGAGTTTAGTAGGAGGGGTGTGGTTCTTACTTCTTAATGTAAGAGATCCTTGTCTCCCTGCATGATCGCTGCCTTCGCTGTCGCTGCTGCCGGCTCTCCCTGCCTTGTCTCCCTTCATGATCGTGACGGACAAAAATGCGAACTTGAAGACTGCTGGGAAAAATCTAATTGCATATCTGGAGTCTATGCTGGTAATTTTCTATAGCTGTTTTGGTTGGCTAAGAAAGCCCAGGTTGTTTATGGTTGTTTGGTGCGAGCACAAATCGTCCATTTGAGTGCTTTTCTCGAATCCCGATATCCGAGGTGACGTTCTGAAGAGTTCGTCGATCTAACGGGTGTTGGAGATGAGACCAGGCTCGCACATGTTTTGCAGCTAATGAGTGCAATGTGGTTGGACAAAGGCACCGACATCAACTGGGTGGTGGTTTCAGTCGCTTCAGCCACATTCGGCTATCCGATCCGAGATGATTATCATCCCAGTTGACGAGCACGTTTTCCGGAAAAGTGATTAAACCACCACCCAGTTGGTATGGACTTGTGCGTGTTTGCGATGTCAATCTTGAAATCTGGTGCACTCTTCAGCAATGTGCAACCTAACCAGAAAATTCCATACACCTTGTCACCGCTTGGCTCAAGCGACCTAGCTTTCCTGATTTGAAGCCTGAACATCGGTAACCACTGGCAGCTCCAGCAATATGAAGCTGTGTGTCCATGTCAATGTGCTGCTTTTGGCCCTGGGGGTCATCAGTGGGCAGAAATGCAATGAATCCAATGAATGTGACAGCAATTCTCATTTGCACGTCGCCACCAAGGTCGCCAAGGTCGCCAAGGTCGCCAAGGTCGCCAAGGCCGCAATCCAAATCAGTGAATTTCAGCCCGGGTCTCCCCCAACACCCCCAGGACCCCCAGTGCCCGGGTTTCCCCTGGTGGAGCTCAGTGGACCCCCAGGTGACTCCCAGGTATGCGTTTGGAGCATCAACACCGATGGTGGCAACCCACAATTGTTTGTGGATTCAGTGGCCCCACCAACCGGAATACCAACGACTGTGAGTTTTGACCCCATCACAGGCTTGGCGGAGGTCCCAGGACCTGAGCTCGCGTTTCCAAGTTTCACCATTGTCTTGTCGTTCGGATGCCCACCTGTGGGGTACCCCGTCGATCAATCCTTTCTGGCGGCCATTCTGCCGAACATTCTTCCTATCCACGACTCAATTTGGGTGCCTAATGCCGCTACTGCGACCGAACTACAAGACGTCCTAAACGACATAAGAGCCGCAGTAGCCGCAGCCACATTTGCTCCCGACACCGTTCCTGGGTCAGTGCTCCCATACAATGGAGCCTCACCATCACTCGTTTTCCGCGAGGGAAGTACTGGACCCTTGTTCCAAGTTGTCAATGGAGCTATCTTTGATGCGGACGGCAACTCTGTCGATCCTGGCGACTTTGACTCGCCGAGCCCAGACCAGCCAACTCCTGATCTCATCAATCCATCACTAGTCTCAGGCGCGACTGGTGATCCGCATATCCATACCTTGGATGGCGGCCATTACACGTTGCTGCGAGAGGGCTCCTTCTTGCTCTGGCGCTTTGGCTTGCTGCAGCCCCACGTGGAGTGGCAAATCTTTGCCCACTATGCCGGACGCCAGTCCTTCACGAAGGGCCTTTTGTTGGTCGATACTTCTGGTCCAGAGCCATCCAGCATGGAGATCACTTCGGAACGCTGCGAATGGCAAACGCAGAGCAGCTCCAAGAAGTGGTCATCAGTCAACTCAACACTTCCTGAAGTGCTCCTTTCCGGCCCGTCTTCTCATATGAAGCTGGTTGGCAACCAGCGCAAGGACATGCAGAAGATTGAACTCTTCATTGCTGATGAGAAAGGTCCAGATGTTCCAGTCGCCACATTGAAAGTAATGTGTCGACCCGGTCGTCACATCAACCTGAAGCTCCACATGGCGAACGAGAAGTGGAAATCCTCTGTAAGTGGGGAGCTCAAGGGCCAAAAAGGCCAAAAGCACATTCCAACCTCGAAGAGATCAATGCTGCAGCTGGCCACAAGAGAAGACGAAGAGTTTGAGGTGAAGCAGACTTGGGCGGAGCTTGGTGGTAGCTCTCACGCCCGGCACTACCTTCAAAACTTTGATGAGCATCCCACCAATCTGATGTTGGGCCAGACGTGTGACCACCAAGCACAGGCTGATGCCAGGGTTATCTGCCAGAAACACTTGGGAACTGTGGCGCATTCCAGCTACTTGGAGGAGTGTGTCTACGATGTTTGTGCAGGTGGAGGAGAAGAGGCGGCAGAGATGACAGCAGAGATGCTGAAATTCTGAGCGGCCCCGGCCGGCAAATGGGCGAGGAAGGCAGAGGTTGTAGCTAGGCTTAGTTTCAAACTTTCCAAACATTTGAACGCAAGGCTCCCTTTGCTGCTTGCAAAAAGCGTTTGGTCTATGCATAGAATTGCGAGCATGGCAGATGGATACGCGCAACACCTGACACATGGGGTACTCCCAGGCCAATCGTTTTCTTTCTTGTGAACCTTATTCTTGATATATTTGGGTTCGTTTTTTGATATATCTTCCTGTTTGATCCTATATGGAGACTTGCCTACGCATACGAGCCATAACGAGCCCCTAAGATCAGAGTCTGTCACTCAACTGTCCGCAGCACTGCATCGCTCCGTGGTCCAGGAATCATTGTGCTGTTCTTCAGCTACTTCTCTTGACGGCTTGACATTGCTTTCAAGGAGGGCATTGGCTCGGACTGGGCCGAATTTCATATTGGACACTGACATCAGCAATGGTCAAGCCATTAAGGGTTAACGATGGGGGATGGTCATCAGTTATGGGGGGCCTGATAGGAATGTTGGTAGTGTCTGCGGTTGTCAACCATGTTGTTCTTGTTGTCTTTGTTGTTGGTGGTGGTGTTGTGTTGTTGTACTGTTGTTGAACTGTTGTAGTGTTGCAGTACCGTTGTTGTGCTGTTGTTGTACTGTTGTACTGCTGTTGTACTGCTGTTGTACTGTCGTTGTACTGCGGTTGTACTCTTGTTGTATTGTTGTCGTGCTGTTGTCGTACCGTTGTTGGACTGTTGTTGAAGCGCTGTACTGTTGTTGTACTGTGGTGCTGTTGCACTGTCGTTCTGTTGTATTGCTCTACTGCTGTACCGCTGCCCGGGGTACTGTTGCCTTGTTGCTTCTTGCTTGTTGATTGTCGCATTGTTGCATTGTTGGACTGTTCCACTGTTTACTGTTTTACTGTTTTACTGTTTTACTGTTTTTACTGTTTTACTGTTTTACTGCTGCTGCTGCTGCTGTTGCTGTTGCTGTTGCTGTTGTTGTTGTTGTTGTTGTGGTTTGTTGCTGTTGCTGTTGCTGCTGTTGTTGTTGTTGTTGTTGTTGTTGTTGTTGTTGTTGTTGTTGTGGCTGTGGTTATTACGTTGTCGTTGTCGTTGCCGTTGCCGTCGTCGTCGTCGCCGCCGCCGTCGTCGTCGTCGCCGTCGTCGTCGTCCGCCGCCGCCGCTGCCGTCGTCGCCGCGTCGTCGTCGTCGTCGCCGCCGCCGGCGTCTTCGTCGTAGCGTCGTCGTCGTCTTCGTGTGGTGGGGTGGTGGTCGTGGTGGTGGTGGTGGTGGTGGTGGTCGTGGTCGTGGTCGTGGTGGTCGTCGTGGTCGTCGTGGTCGTGGTGGCCGTGGCCGTGGCCGTGGTTGTGGTGGTGTGATGGTGGTCGTTGTCCTCGTCGTTGTTGTCGTCGTCGTTCTTGTTCTTGTTCTTGTCCTTGTTCTTGTTTTGGTCCTTGTTCTTGTGCTTGTCCTTGTTCTTGTCCTTGTTCTTGTTGTCCTTGTTGCCCTTGTTGTCCTGTCCTTGTGTTGTCCTCTTGTTCTTGTATTGTGCTCTTGTTCTTGGTGTCCTTGTTCTTCTCGTTCTTGTGGTGGGGACGTTTGTCAGCTCCATTCCAATAGATGGCCGCAAATGCGATTTTTAACGGAATGGAACTGGCACCATCAGTGATTCTGAACAGGCTGTGCAGCACAGCCAAAAAGGATCAAAAAGGCAAACAACAACAGCATCTTGCCAGGAAAAATTGGGTCCATGGTGATTGCAACATTGCTATATATCCTTCTCACAGCTGCTAAAGTGACTCACATCCAGCATATTACTTGGTCGTTTGTATGACATGGCATGACTTGTTGATGGTAACAAAGAATGATGCAAATCTACGAATTCCTTCATGGAACTGCCAGAAGCTGTATGTTGATTAGGTAATACAGGATGATCCAGGCTGCAGACTTGACATTGTGCAGAGTTGCACTCATGCATGTCTTTGACAGGAAGCAATGACATCGATGGTCTTCATGATGTTGTTTGGACCTAAGATCACCTTAACCAGATTGACACATGAAAACACCGCGAAGAGAGGGACAGAAGATCTGACGATTGATTTTTCTGACTTTTTCGAACCACATTCTTCTGGGACCAATCGTAGGTCAGGATGTGGCTGAAACTCGGATGAAAGAACCAGCCGGGCACTGAGAGCAAAGTAATAAGATCGAACAAGATCGGATGGGATGAGATGCCAAAGAGATGGAATCTCACACAATGCCTGCAATGTGTTAGGTGCATCCATGCCAGATCAAACCAGCAGATTCTCACACCTTTCTTGTCACCTTACGGACATGTCCTTCAGCAAGATACGGGGGAACCCCAAAGGGAACGTCATTTCCGTCGTCTCTCTGTTCCTTGTACTGGTTCGTATCCTGTAGCAAGGAGGAAAGTGTAGGGGGATTTCCTTACGACACACACATGCTACCGCAAGATGTTGTCTTTGGAAATTCTCTGTTGAGGGAATGGCTCACAACATGTGGGAGCCTGCGTCCCATCATGCACAGGAAAACTATGGAACCTCGAAGGATTGTAGAGCTGACGGAACCACTCAACAGAAGGTCAGCAGCCAGAAAAGTCAACTTGTGGGAATCAGCACGTAGAGCTCACTTTCAGCACAGCAGGTAGCAAATCAACGCACCCCCCTATACAGATACATACATGTACATACATATGTACAACTTTCTGGGCATTCTCTATGCCTGTTCTTTTGACATGACATGTCTACTGAGGCCGATGGCCGTTTTACGAAGCTGTGCCCCCAGCCAAGGCGGATTCCACCCCGATCGCAGCATGATGGTCATTGGATGTCATTGGTGTTTTGGGGATAGGCGTGTGCTATGTCAAAACTAGGAAGGCCTTGGATATGACTGGTGTATTCAACGTATTCTGTGAGATGTTCAAACTAAATACGTTTGAAAACGAGTGGTTCAAGTTCAGATCAGGCTTTATGCTCGCTATATCAGTGCTTTCCCACACCACCGCCATTCAGAAGTCTCAGCAAAGCAACAAACAGTCTCAAGCCGTCTTCGTGCTGACTTTTGGACATGTCACAGGCATTTCCAATGCATAAAACATCACAATATCAATGGATTGGTTTAAGGGAAAATCTACAGGAAACCATAGATTTTTCCATTAAATATGGGGTTTTCTTGTAAATTTCCCCTTAAACCAATCCATTGACAATAGAACAACTTTCCTTCGTCCCAGACCCGCTGGTCACTAGTCACTAGTCACGAGGGGCCTGCAGTGTGTGTTACGATACAACGGCACCCGGGCTTTTGACATGTCTCTGTGATGAAGCCCGAAATGGTTGGTACAAAGATGCTCCGTGACCTGACCAAATTCATACCTTGATTGGTTCAAAACAGCGTAGGCATCAGCCAATCTGCTGGCCTCGCGCAGGAGTTTGATGTGTCCGAACATCTCCTTCTCTGTTGAGACGGTGAATGCCTTCCCGAGCATGGAAACATACGAAGGACGGATGGAACATCAATATGTAATCTCTTAAGGTAGGACAGAAGAGTGGTACCACGTGGTACCGTTATCAAACCAATAAAAGTCATGATTTTGGGGTATCCCTGTTTTGAGACAACACCATATGTCCTGTCCGCATTCGTGCATTTGGAGTGATTTGCTGCCGTTTTGGCAACCCACAGTCAAACGGCAAATGAACCGTTGCACGCCTTGGAAAGGGGTTCTGGCGGCGCAGCTTTTGGTGCCACAAAGGTGACTGACAATTGTTTTTTTTTTGCATGGAGGGCAGCTTTTCAGGGAGTTTTTGGCAGTTTGTTTCATGTTTGACTTGCTGTTTTCTGCTCAGACTGGGACTTTCAGACTGCTAACCAATGGTTATTGTCGGTTCATGGGCTCTCCTCTTGCAAATCCTGTCAGACTTCCATTTCCTTGAGGTAGACTTGTTGGTTAAATCATTGTTTTCGTTGGCTAAACCCCTATATATATATATATATTTGTTAGATATCATTCGTTGGTTAGTTCCATTTATTTTGGGACATCCTCATCTTTTGGTGAAGGATTTTAGCCCCTGAAGCCTGAGGCCGGTTGCACGTGGCATGCTTGACGGTGCACGAGCGCCTGCACGATCGGACGGCGGGAGGCCGGGTAGGAACAACAGTCGTGTTGGTCTACCCTGCAGCAATGGGAACTTTTAATTAGCAGCCAAAATGGGGATTGAACCAACAAAAATATGAACACTGTGGTAATGTGGGATTCAAATGGATTTACATCAGCAGCAAAAGATAATGAGTAAGATTAGCAAGCAGCCGATAGAAACGTGGATTTTATCAACGAGTTTTGCAGCCAAAATGGGATTTTTTGTCCGCCGGCAAACAAACGTAGCCTTGGAACATCTGATTGGTTTTGGAGCAACATCTATATACCCTCCGGTACTCAAACGTGGACATGGACAATCCCCAATTTGTAGGTGATATTCCCATGAAAGCCTCCATTTGTAGGGAATTTACCATTGCCACGTTTCATTACCAAACATACATGTCATTTCTCTTTGCCTGCTTTGGTCTATTGGAAGGATTCATGGCTGCTGGATTTTTGCCATACAATGAGCCACGAAAAATGGGGATGTCGCCAGCAAATACCGTGTCAAGATGGAATATGCTGTCGAATCTGGTATCGGCAACGTTTCCATTGTTGAATTTCCAAATCTGCTGGTTGAATCACAGTTTTTGTGAGTAAACTTGTGTTTTTTTTGGTGGTTAAACCATCGTTTTGCTGCTCAATTGCTCAGCTCCTCACACCTGTTCACCAATTTTCCTGATTCCTGATTGCTTCGTTCGACAGGGGTTGGAGCCCATGACCGGAAACAAGCGAGATCACACTGCCATTTTCTGACGGTTACCAAAAGGTGGGCTTAAACTAGTTTTATCATATACCTTCCAATAGACTCACAGTTTGCGGCTATGGAAAAACCATTTGGTTCGATCACTTACCTGAAAAACATGGTGATTCTCGATAGTTATGTTAAATTATGCATGTACCATAAATTGCCAGGGGGTACACTATGACTACAATGGTCTCACATCGAGTCGAATCTAGAATCTATCCTGAATGGTGAATTTCCCCTGTAACACCTTATTTTTTGCGGGCCAAAATCCACATTCTTGGGCGTTTGTGAGGACCTTACTACACGTCGAAGGCTGGATTTGGCTGGAAACGCCGCACAAGCCACTGGCGAGGTTTAGCAAAACAACCGGCAGATTCTTCGGACTATGGTTGATTGGAATGAATATAGCCCACTATACTCGGCAGAACATCAAACAACCATGCATCGTTTCGATTGTCCACCACGCTGCCAGAAATAATCGGGCATCGATAGAGGGATATCCAGCCCACTTCCGTCCCGGCAATATCCCATATCTTTCACCTCCTTCAAATCAGCAGTGGGGTTCCCGAATAAAATCGGATGGCTCTCCCGCTGGCCAGGGTACGTTTAGGTCCAGCATGGTGTGGCCGCAGCCCCGGAATCTAAATGGGGATGCCTCAGAACCTATTATCACCTTGTATGGGGGAAAAGCCGTCGATTAGCCAGCTATTTTAGGGAACCATCCGGGTACCAGGGTTTTGACTCATAGCTCATAGCCAAATAATTCAATGATTGCTTATAGAACTGCCGTGGCCCGCAGGCGTTATGCTTGGTTTCCCTCTTCCCCTGTTTGGAGCTTCTGAGAAGCTTGCCACGACCTCAGCGAAATCTTCACTGACCTGAAGAGTGGCTAATTTTGAAGCGCCGTTCTTGTTGAACCACCATTTTTCATCATTTTTCAAGTTTGGAAATTTGGATACCCCAGTTGAAAAAGATGTATATATATATATATATGGTTACACGCTCTTTAAGGGGAACTAATTTATGCACTTTTTTTTTCACAAAACTCTATTTCAAAGTTTTGTTTTTCCCCACCTGCCAGGTGAGGGTTGTTAGATTTTATGTCAGTTGCCTCCTCGTCCTCCTTCTCCTCCTCCTCCTTCTCCTCCTCCTCCTCTCCTCCTCCTCGTCCTCCTCGTCGTCCTCGTCGTCCTCGTCCTCCTGCTCAACTGCGACTCGCGATCCACAGTGTTCGCTGTCGGACCTCAACCACGACCATCCACGCCCAGTGTTCCCTGCCGGACCTCAACCACGACCATCCACGCCCAGTGTTCCCTGCCGGACCTCAACCACGACCATCCACGCCCAGTGTTCCCTGCCGGACCTCAACCACGACCATCCGCGCCCAGTGTTCCCTGCCGGACCTCAACCGCGACCATCCACGCCCAGTGTTCCCTGCCGGACCTCAACCGCGAGTATCCACGCCCAGTGTTCCCTGCCGGACCTCATGTAGGAAGATATGGGACAAAGAATGTGAACAGAAAGAAGAAAGTCAGAAGATATGCCAGAAGATATGCCAGATAGAATGCCAGAATGCCAGAAGATATGCCAGATAGAATGCCAGATAGAATGCCAGAAGATGCCAGAAAATATGCCAGAAATATGCCAGAAGATATGCCAGATAGATATCAGAAGATATGCCAGAAGATATAGATATGCCAGAAGATATGTCAGATAGAATGCCAGAAGATATGCCAGATAGATATGCCAGATAGAATGCCAGATATATGCCAGAGAAGATATGCCAGATAGAATGCCAGAAGATATGTCAGATAGAGTGCCAGAAGATATGCCAGATAGAATGCCAGAAGAGATGCCAGATAGAATGCCAGAAGATATGCCAGAAGATATGCCAGATCATATGCCAGAAGATATGCCAGATAGAATGTCAAATAGAATGTCAGAAGATATGTCAGATAGAATGCCAGAAGATTTGCCAGTAAGAAAATGTATAAATGTCATGGTGGGGATCACACGAAGTAAAGTAATTTTGGTCAAATGGTCAAAGCCCCAAAATTCTTTGACCATTCCCAACACTTTGAAATGGGGAGCCTATTTTCTAAAGAAGGTGTGCCCTTAGAGCCTTAGATCCATCCAGCAATTTCTCCACGGAATACGAGGCACATCCAAACACTTTGCCCAGAAAACCAATACTTTGAAATGGAGGAGCCTCTCCTCTAGAGAAGCTTTGCCCCTAGGGCCATCCAACACTTTCCCTTTAAAGAAGTTCTGCCCTTTGCACCATCCAGCACTTTCTCCATGTAATACCAGACTTTTTGACCAGAAAACCACCACTTTGAAATGGAACACCTCCTTCGTAAAGAAGCCTTGCCCCTAGGACAGCAGTTTCCTTTAGCAAAAAAAAATTGCCGTCTGATTCTTGGTAATCCAGCACTTTCTCCATGGAATACCAGGCACATCCAAACACTTTGACCAGAAATCACTACTTTGAAATGTCTTTGCACCTTTGTAGAGAAAAAATAGCACTGCCTCATTCTAAAAGGATGTTACTTTTGAAAACTTCATTTTCGAGGTTCCCCAAAACGAGCATGGCGCCACAAATATATATATATATTATGATCATAGAATCTATCTAACACAAATGTGGATTATGCACATGTATATACATGGCATGGGATTGCAGAAAATTATGGAATGTGCGACGTGGATTTCTCGATGTCATAAAGGCCTGTCGCTCACATTTTTGTGGTCCCATCAAGGGGTCGCCATCAAGCAGTCATTCATTCAATTTTGAAGTCCTGGTCTTACCTTGCTATCTTTTTGGCGGCTCGCATACAGACACAAAGATATACACACAATATACAATACAATCAACACCTGATGTAATTATACACATAGACATACACATACATGTACGTCCTCATAAATTGTGACGACCTCACTGTGATGTCACTTGAATGATGGTTAAAAGGGGCAAGTATCCCAACATGTCTGAACTTTTCAGGTTGGTAGATGAGTCACTTATGTATCTAAATAAACTAATTTATATGCTAATTTACATACTATGTTTTTACAGACTATAGATACATAATACGTATATATATATATATATTTACCTATTTACATATGCATGTATATACATATGCCAAACATGAGTACATCCATGATATATACATGGCTCAGGCTCTCCGATGTCCTGCTGGCAGCCCGCTTGGATGACCACGAAGTGGCCAAATCAGGCGACACGCCGGGGACGGTCCTGGATTTGGTCCTGGTTGAAGTTCAAGATTTTTCCTGGATGATGGAATACCGGTGGAGAAGAAATTGATATATATATATATATACATATATATATATATATACATAAATAACACGTTTATATTGGTTTATGACATGTCATATATATATATATTTGGGAATATATGATAATGAATAGGCACGGATATTGTGTTATTTCCTGGATTCGCTGAGATTGATTTTTTTTTTAATAGTTCCCCATTACTGGGAAGATAGCAATTTTGTGGGGGTGCCTACAGCACATCCACACTAGTTAAACAATGTAAGTTTTCAATATTTTTTGAGAACATCCAATGACATTTCTAGAGAAACAATTCGAGACTACTTGTGTGAGCCATTTTTGCCCCATGTATTTTTTTTGCTCCCACCACAAGTCTATAAGTCACAATGTAAAGATGCCAAGGGCAAGCTCTGTTTCCATCCATACAGGCGAAGTCATTTCAGCCATGGGTACTTGGAACCATATTCACATTTGGTATGCCACCTGCTTCGTTGCAAGCCCATGAATCATTTGTGTAGGTGGTATATAGCCCGTTGTTGGTTTCTTAAATCCACATTTCAGCTTAAATCCACATCTTTGCTGGTGAAAGCCACATTTTTTGCGGCTAAAATCCACCGTTTTGTTGGCGAAATCCCATCGCCAGTTGATGTACCCTTCGAGCGGCTTGTGCCACGCCGCTGGGACGTAGGAAACTGCTGAGAGATGAAGCCAACCAGTTGGGGGCTATTCATGGGTTTAACAATGGTAATCACCTCCAAAAGTTGGGATGTAATCCCTACAACATGGTGACATCTAATCCACTCATGTGTGGAACTGCACCAGCATGATCAAGCATGATTAATCAGCCAAAATGAGGTTTGGACCAAGGACTTTAGAGGGTTTTTGCTGGGATATCATTGGGATACAATTCGGATAATAATTAGGATATACCATTCGATAATCAAACATGGCACTGGACAAATCCCCCACTTGGTGTAGTTGGATCATTTTCCCAGCTATAACCCCCATTTATCTAGGAATTCCATGGAATTCCTTTGATTACCTGCAGGTAAGCAGGAAACAAATATACTACCAATTTCTGATTGAGTAAACTAAGCAAGCTAAACCAAACATCAACCATAAAACTCATAGGTCGGGATGATTCATCTTGCCCTTGAAGGATGGGGTGTGGTTTATTCTCAGGTTTCCGGCCCTATGATAATCAAACATGGCAATGGATAAGTACAATTGGGTTAATTCCGACCCTGTCGTTGTCAACGACCTATTCTTGTATCCCTGTACTTTTTGCGTGCCCGCATTTTTGGTTGAACCTTATCAATGGTGGTAATAAACCAGCTGTAAACTGCCGGACCAAGGTTCCATATCTAAGACAAGCCCTGATATACTGTAGACATTTTCGACCCGCATCTGGATTTGTCTGCACATAGGCTACCCTATTCCAGGCCATAGTTTTGAACCCCATCATTTCCAGGTTTCGAGCGTTTCTTCTATCCCAGATTTGGTTTCAGGGAAATCTACAGGACCTACATTTTGGGCTAGGGAAAAAACAGGGCTTTTCCATAGACTTTCCAAAGTATAAACCAATCCATTGGATATAGACTTGAGTATACCATTAGTCTGGTAAACCCGATAATAAACCACCCTGTTTGGGGATGTTTTGTCTATTTCTTTCCCACAAAGGGGGAGTTTGTTATTGGGTTTGCCACAGTAACTATTTATATTTATATCTATTGAATCTATTTTGGGCTTGCAACAAAATATCATATTGTCATCCTATTCCCATTATTAACCCATCACATTCCCATCATTAAGCCATGATATCAGACAGTCAAAAACCCATCAATCATCATTTTTCACTTAAAAACCAATGTTTGACGGTGAAAATCCCAATGAGCCGGGTTGCCAATTTGACACATACAGGGAACACATTCGGGCAGATCTTTCCACGGATCGACACCGAGGTGTTCTAATGCAGATCTTCTATGAGTTGCCCCTGCCGCAGACTCGCCACAGCATGGTGAGCCTCACCGCAGGTGCGCGCGAATCGCGCGCTTCGCGGTGCGATTCTCCCCAGGTCTGGGAAAAAACGTTTTAGTTGTTTGGAATATGTGGGGGAGATCGATTTTGACATGGAGTCTGATATTTATTCATTCCTTTATTTATTTGTTTATTTTTTTATTGACTAGTTATTAATGTATATCTAGACAAACGCACATTTTTTCAGACATCTGAAAAAACGGGGATTTTACAACACGGAAGCTTTTCATCGGGAAGAGGACGAAAAAACCACGGATCTTGGTGTTTTTTTTGCATCTTCGCTGGTCTCTCTTTCCGCGCGAGGTCTGAGGGAGGTGAACCTTTTAGATCCCGATGGCTTGACGCGGGACTTCTCCTTTCGACCACTGGTCGCCTTCCTCTCCGTCACCAGGTGCTACCAGAAAGGTTGTTGAACTGTTTGCGAGTGGAAAACCACCATTTTGAACATTTTTGATTGGTAATTCAACCATAAAATGACAATTTTCAATAGCTATGTTGAATTAATGGAGGGTATAGATAATATACTAATTATACGACTGCTACTACTACTACTACTAATAATAATAATAAGAATAATGATATTAAAAATTTTCAATAATAATGACACTAATTTTCAATAATAATAATAGTAATACTAGTACCCTCTGGTGAACTAACATAGCAATGGAAAATGGCCATTTATAGTGGATTTTCCCATGAAAAATGGTGATTTTCCATTGCTATGTTAGTTCACCAGAGGGTAGTGAAAATGACAATCACATGTATAAACAATAGTATTCTATGATATTCTATGTAATTGTATTCATGAAAAAAGGCCAAGCACCTCGTGTTTGCCCGAGGTACTCAAAACACTGTCAAGTGTGAGTCATTCTGGCGTTACTGAAAAGCTCAGGTGGCTGTGCGTCATTGCACAAGTCCCCCTGACCCCAAACAGAAATCCTAACGGCCCAAACCATGAATCCTACACACTACACCTTTAACCCTAAAAACCATGGAAGAAAAGAAAGGAACGACCTAAAACGGTAAACATCGAAACCCTAAAACCCTGATTTTCAAACCATGAAACAATAAGCTTAAAAGTGATGTTGGGCGAAACGAGGTGTCTGTGCGCATGTGTATATGTCTATACATATGTATACACGCAGTATGTGTCTACAATAAATCCCCCTTCCCAAAGTGTTGCACTGCATCTTCTTTCCAAAACTACATCCCGTTCTCAGACACCCCAAAATCATTTTAAGGTAAAATACTTACATCTCCCATTGTATATCTCATATTTATCCACTTATATCACCACAAGAACCCATTTCTAGCAGCCCTCATGAAATGCAGCTGATTTTTTGGGCGAAAAAATATTATCGTCGACAGCAGGTTGTCGCAGCTCTTTGTGCTCACATTGCAAGAGAGGAAGGTCCTTGGGGGATGACAGGGAAAAACACGAGGACGGTTGAGACCATGGTGTTGACCTCCAATTCGTTGGGGTGTGGGGTTGCAATTTTCCCAAAGAAATCCATGAGAGGTCCGGATTTTCTTGGAACGATGCTGATTTTGTGATTTGATGGGTGCAACATCTGGTTACACCCTGCCGAAGCATCCTGGCCGGGATTCTGAGATGGAGGGGTTCCAATTGAACGGTTTTGTGGGGCTGTTCTGCCCATTTTTTGATTTATACTATCGCCAGTTGTATGGTATGACGGTATGTCGTCCATTATAGTTTATTCAAAAAATGTCGATGTTATTGTTGAATTCCCAAGTATTTTTCTGGCAACACCCTCATATTCTATTTGTGAAATCCCAGTGTCTGTGGATCAAACCACTGTTTTCTTCTTGACATGTCTACACTCCAGGTTTGCTTCGGGGACCGTTGAGTCAGTTGAGTCGGCTCCAGGTTGTCTTGAGCTCGCAGCAGCTATGCCCAGCGCTACTGGTGGTGACCCTTGGCACTTGTGACGGCTGGTGGGTACCCGACTTGTCGCTGGTGAAATCGGCAACTTTTGCACGGCAAAAAGCTTCGCGTGTACTGAAAGAACACATTTTTTCTGGCAAAATCCCACAAAAAATGCAGGTATAATCACCATGTTCCAGGATTGAGGGTTGATTCACAACTAGCTTTGGTCCATGACTCAAGATTGACAGAAAAAAATTGCCTTAAGAAACATCACAAGAATTGTGAGTCCATCAGTCCATCCATTGGTATTCTACGTGTCCGGTGACCAACCAGGATCAGCATCACGTGGCGCCAAGGATCTTGGAAGCCTTGCGGGCCTTGCTGTTCCCGTTGGAATGGGTGCCTTGGTAGTTGCCCATGAATTGTTTTCGGACCCAGGGGACGAAAGTGCTCAATCGAATTCAGTTTTTTCACCATTCAATTAACCATCGAATTTTAGGGTTCCCCCATTTCAATCCATACCCATATTTGCAAACTTCGAGCCAAGTTTACTCTGTCTTTGAGCCGTAGCACGATCCAAGTGCTTCCAGTTGGGGGCCGCATCACCATATGAATGATGTAGTGAACATCATCATACATCAGCATCAGCTCTTTTAGGTGAACGACGTTGAATGATGCTGAATCTTTAGGTAAATGATATTAGGTGATGTTCAATTTTGTCGAATCAGATCATGACACATTAAGACCTGATCTGTGGTGACCGCGTTTTGGGTCGTTATCCCAGCTGGGCCTCCAAGAGTGGTTCTTACCACCCCGGCCCATCCGGAAAGTGTCTGATCCATGTCGCATTTTACGGCTTCAACATAATTTAGCAATGGGAAATCCCGGAATTAAATGGGAAAATCATCGAAGTGAATGGTGGATCACTTTCCCATGACTTTTCCAGTTCTGATTAAGATGGCTTTCCAATCCCCCCCCAAAAAAGTTGATTTTGTTGGAAAGCCACCCGATCTTGGTCCCAAGAAATCACCCATTTTGCCTGGTCATCCCCCCAAAAAAGACACGAAGCGCCGCTTGTCGCCTTTGAGGAGCACACCTACCTGCCCATTTTGCCCAACTCCTTCCGCTGGGCTTTGGAAAGTCCGGCCCCCTTTCTGATGGGCGTCTCGGGGTCGCCCATTGCTTCAGCGGAGTTGCCGGAGGATGTGCGGAGACCTGGAGGATGGGGGATGGGGGCATGGAGGATTGTCACGGTTCATTGATTGAACATAATTAAGCTGCTTATTGTTCATGATGATTATCATTGTCACTATATTTTTAAAACACATATGACATTTATTGTTGGAGTTACCGCTGGCGACCTGGCGACCATCTACCCCTGGTGGCTGATTAGGGTGATGGTGCGATCATCATCTATCATCATCCCCTGGGAATTCCTATTAGATCCTATCTAAACCAACCAGTAGAATGGCAGAGGCTTTTGAACACTGCTCCAATCTTCTGATTTTAGGGCACTGTGAATAAGTGCTCGATTTGCTCAGATGAATCGAAACGGGTTAGCCTTTTCTGTCCAGGCCTGGTCAGTTTTAGAAACCTTACCCGTCCATTTTGCTTGGGTTGGGGCGTATCATATCATATGGGTATGGATCAATACCTATACATACCATTTTTAGGGGGATGAACATCCATTTACCAGCTATTTTGATGTTCACCAGGGGTACAAGTTTTTGACACACTGCCATATAATTTTGAATCATTCCTGTATGGTGATAGGAATAGGCTGGGGGAACAAACTACTTTGATTGGCCAGGACGTGGTCTTCATTAAAGTTGGCCACGGGCCAAAAACATGGTGCCCTGTTGACACCGTAGGTAGCTGGTCGGATGTCATAAAATCCTCCGCACCAAAGAGATGAATCTCCATATTGACCCATGCCGCACCTGGATCGCACTCAAAAATTCTAGTTTCAAAATGGGTTGGTTTAAGGGGAAACCTTTGTTTCAGCAATGAAAATGGTTTCGATAGAAAAATGGTCAAGTTCTTGGATTATTTGTGAAGCCAATCTGCATTGGTGATGAGGTGGTGGTTTTCGACTTAGACACTGGCAAAACCCTGCCTGAAAAGATGCAGGCGGGGGTGCTGAGCCCTCCGATTTCTGGGTGGAGTAAAGGTTTTGTTTGAAGGTGATTTGAATCTATAGTTCCCCACCTGCCAGGTGAGGGTTGTTAGATTTTATGTCAGTTGCCTCCTCGTCCTCCTTCTCCTCCTCCTCCTTCTCCTCCTCCTCCTCCTCTCCTCCTCCTCCTCGTCCTCCTCGTCGTCCTCGTCGTCCTCGTCCTCCTGCTCAACTGCGACTCGCGATCCACAGTGTTCGCTGTCGGACCTCAACCACGACCATCCACGCCCAGTGTTCCCTGCCGGACCTCAACCACGACCATCCACGCCCAGGGTTCCCTGCCGGACCTCAACCACGACCATCCCCGCCCAGTGTTCCCTGCCGGACCTCAACCACGACCATCCACGCCCAGTGTTCCCTGCCGGACCTCAACCACGACCATCCCCGCCCAGTGTTCCCTGCCGGACCTCAACCAGGACCATCCACGCCCAGTGTTCCCTGCCGGACCTCAACCGCGAGTATCCACGCCAAGTGTTCCCTGCCGGACCTCAGGTAGGAAGATATGGGACAAAGAATGTGCAGAAGAAAGTTAGAAAGAATGTCAGAAAGAATGTCAGAAGATATGCCAGAAGATATGCCAGATAGAATGCCAGATAATATGCCAGAAGATATGCCATGCCAGATAGAATGCCAGAAGATTTGCCAGATAGAATGCCAGAAAATATGCCAGAAGATATGCCAGATAGATATGTCAGAAGATATGCCAGAAGATATGCCAGAAGATATGTCAGAATATATGCCAGAAGATATGTCAGATAGAATGCCAGAAGATATGTCAGAATATATGCCAGAAGATATGCCGATTGAATAGATATGTCAGATAGAATGCCAGAAGATATGCCAGATAGAATGCCAGAAGATTGCCAGATAGAATGCCAGAAGATATGCCAGAAGATATGCCAGATCATATGCCAGAAGATATGCCAGATAGAATGCCAAATAGAATGTCAGAAGATATGTCAGATAGAATGCCAGAAGATTTGCCAGTAAGAAAATGTATAAATGTCATGGTGGGGATCACACGAAGTAAAGTAATTTTTTTTGTATTCTATGAGCATTCTATATCTAATGCAACCATCCTATTTTTAAGGTACCAGATGTTGTGGTGTACAGGGTGCTGGGTGGAGCCTAGGAAGGCCAATCATCGAAGTAAACGGGCGGCTTCCAGTTCGCAAAGTGTTGAATTACCAGAGGGGAATAAAATATGGGTGGTGTACAATGGAAAAAATGCCATCTAGAAATGGATGATGACTGGGGGTAGCCCTATTCACGTCGCTTCGCGACGGCAACCGCCCGCACCGCATCGTTGGGCAGCCGCTCGTAACTGCCAATGATGTCGGCCATTGAGACCAAAAACATCCGAAAGTATTGATTGTCGGAAAAAAAAATGCGAAGAATTTGATAGCCATGTATAGCGGACCAACGCAGTTCAAAAAATAACGAAAAACATGAAAAAACGGCGAAATTGCTGTTATTTACAGTGTTTTTGCGCGGTGAGAAGCAGAAACCACTGCAAATACCATGGTTTTTGAGGGTCAGGTGGCCAAAAACACTGTAATTTACAGTGTTTTTTTAACCAACGTCAAAAAACACTGGTATTTACGATGTTTTCATTCACACCGTAACATAAAACAGCGTAATTTACGAGGTTTTTGGAAGTTTTGAAGCTAGCCGTCAAGCATGCAGAAAACAGAAAAACACTGTAAAAACCAGTGTTTCTGCTATCACAAAACGACGAAAATCAGTCCGAAAACGGGTCCAAAAACTCAAAAATCCGCCTCCGGGCCAGGCCACCTGCGGAACCGCAAAAAAAGATGTTGCAAACCAAAAAATTGAGGTCAAAAAGTTGAAAAACACGGGGTTTTTCCACTTTTCGCTTGCCGATTTTGGACGGGCGCGTTCACGAACAGGTGTCTTCCGTACTGTTTTTTACAGTGTTTTTTGAAGGCGAGCGTCACGACCTATCAAAAACAGGAGGTTTTGGCCGAAAAATGGTGCCCCCCCCCCCCCAGGTAAACCTGTAACCTTTTACGAGTGCCATCCGGAAGATCACGCCCCAGCACCTTCGGTGCGGGCGGATTTTAGGAAACCTCCAAATATCCCATTCCCATCCATTCACATTTTTTATTTTACAAGACAGAAGGGCTTTTGAAGCCACCGGGATTTAGGCGTGAAGGTTGGCCTAGATGTAATGCCCTAGATGTAATGTAATGGGGCAGCCATGTGCCACACAACTGACCACCCAATTGTTGTTGCTCATGAATCACTCACGTTTGGTAGTTGTAGCCCATCATCATTCTCTCAGAGAAACCTATATCTCACCATGAATCCCACAAGTACACACATATATATATATATATAGAGTCACCTGGAAGTAGATAGAATATAGAAATTTCGAACATTCACTAAAATAGGAATATGTTTGATAGTTGATAATCCCACATTCTATCTAGTTCAGGATGATTGTGTATATGTATATATATATATATTATAGATATTTGCAAAATAAGTGGACTAACAAATGATTAAGACAAATGACAATCCATTAATTATATAGTTAAGGGGAGTGTCACCCATTTTCACCGCCCTAGGGATCCACAGGTCACAGTGCCACAGATCATCGAACAGCCCTTGGCCCGCCTGCGGAATGCGCATCAGTGGGAGCAACGGCCGGCCAACAAGGCGTTGGTAAATTTGGATTTTTAAGGGGATTTCATGGTGGTTTAATGGTGATTTAATGGGATCTAGTGCGGAAACTAACGTAGATGTGGATAAAATTCCCATGGGGAAAGCCTAGGGAAATGATCGACCAATGGTGGGTTTTCCACTCCACCAACCTTTGGGGCTACCCTTGGGAACCGCAAAAATCCAGCGGTTAGGAGGGAGTGGTTTGGAGCTATGGGTATATCAAAATTTCCAACAAGAAATGGGGGCCAAGGAGCTAAGAATGGAGTTTCCCAACCGCATGAAAGCTATCCAAGAGAAACAATGGGTTTTATGCCCAATCTTTGGCGTAAAGAGTCCAACCCGAAATGAGTCTGTTTTAGTCAACAGTCCCAAATCTTCAAATTAGTTTGCTGAAGGTTTATATTCAGTAGGTAAATTTATGTCAAATGTCCCAATGTGTTAGTTCGTCATGGTGCTGAAGTTTCATACAAAATAAATGCAAATTGCGGGTCAACTGGCTATACAAGCTCTACATATAATCCTGAAGTAGATATACCATGATATATATACTTGTAGACCTATAGAGATATCTAGAATAACTACAGTTTAGTCAACTGCCTTGATGAAAAAAACAGCTGGGCGTCCCCGTGCCCTCAGGGCTACTGGGCGAAGTACGACCACATTCGCCTCGGACGTCCAGAGGTCTCTGGGGATGCTGAGGTCAGCGGGGAAAGTGGTTGGATCATCCATGGGAATGGGGGGAATACCCTCTGGTAAACTAACGCAACTATGGAAAATCACCATTTTTAATGGGTAAATCCACTGTAAATCACCATTTTCAAAAGCTTTTTGTATGTTTACCAGAGGGTACCTCAACCATCCTCAACCATCCTCAAGCACATTTTCAGATACACATGTTGTTCTGGAGGGGATGCCCCATAAAACTATAGGGTAGACAAACCCAAACAGAGGAGACCTCCGAAGCCACATGGCCGATGCCACCCTGTTAAGAACGCCACCCCCAGGACCTCTGGTTTAGGGTTGGATCGTTTCATTTCGGAGTGCATTTTTTTGGGTGCTTGCAATCAAACAAGGGGATGGGATTACCAATCTTTTGTCTGCTACAACTCAACTCTTCTTCTTTTAGTTCAACTTTATTTTTGGATGGTTCATTACCATTTTTTGGGGTAGACCATATTTTTTTTCTTGCTTCACCCCCCATTGTTGGCGAAAAGCCCGCATTCTTGTTGCTTAAAACTCACCTTTTTCGATGGCCAGTTCCTCGCCCGCACGGCTTCCCGGCAGACGCCTTCTCCAGAGTCGCCGCGCGGACGGACCCTGCGGCACAGGCCCGGCACCGGTTGGAGCTACGAACGGAGTTTCCCAAGCAGTGGACAATTGAACCTTTTCGGTCTTTTTTTTGGGGGGTTGCTATAATACAGATCGGTTTATGATTGGATTTTACATGGATCATGTGTATATATCTATATATATATATATTATATGGTCACCCCCCTAGAACCTACCTCTCTCCAATCTATATACTGTATATATATATATACATGGATTATATATCATAGATTATATATGGATAGATTAGGATACTGTAGCCCCAATATTTTGCAGGGACTTACATGGATCTATAACGATGCTATGTGGCCATCGCTATAAATCCACATATATGTATTGTACACACATATATATATATATACACATACGTTACATAAGTCCTTACTAGTTTGCTGATCCCTTGGCAGTAGCAGTTGTCTAATCCATACTATATAATTTTATGCTAAATTTGCCATGTCTTGCACGTTGATTAGGATGTAGCCAGTAACATCACTGGGGATAGGTGGTGTTGAAGAGTAAAACTAGTATCCACAGTGCCTCATTTCCAAATAGGGTAACCACGGGCTGCAGAAGTTGGCCATGACAATGATTCAGCAGATAGGTCTTGTGCCCAGGCAAGGGCATTTCTTTTGTGTCTGAGTTCCCAGAGAAATCCCAATGACTCCTTTACCCGGTTGGGGAAAAGGTGGATTGGCCCTACAAACTGGTGGCTAAACTGAGTCATTTCCACTGCTGGACAATCGGATATGGACACCCCCAGCCTTCAAGCCGCAGGCGAAGCCATTCTTCCACCAGCGCTGAAAGCGGAGATGCCACTGAGCCAAAGTGTGGAGGTTGCAAAGTTGCAAACTTTTCGGAAGAGTTTGGGGAGTTTCCAGAAATCTGAGACTTATTTTTCTTCCACCAGAACATCATATATAATCTCCAGGTTCATGACACTGGGACCCACACCACCACCAATGATTTTAGGGGTTTCTCGGTTGGGTGCCGCATCCACCATGGGACATCCATGAATTTCATTTAATTTCTATAGGTCCTTAGGTGAGAAATGATATGTATGTATGTATATATATATATATATGTACATAATTAAATAATATAGATGGATGGATGGATGAATGAATGGATGGATCGATAGATAGATAGATGGATAGATCGATAGATGGATAGATAGATAGATAGATGGTTTGGTAGATACACAATATATTTTTGATCTGATACCCTCCAGTAAATCAACAAAACGATGTGGAACATGCATGGTTCCTAGGGTACTAGGAAAGGCTCTGATTTCTTTTCTGGAGGGTAATGATCACTGAATTGGCTTCAAGGAACATCAACAGGAAACCATGGGTTTTACCATCACAGATGGATACATATAGGGATATAGGGATTTCGTACATAGATTTTCCCTCAAACCAATCCAATTAGGACGTGTGGGGATTCCAGCTGTTTGACCCATAGCCATGTAGCAGAGATCATTGACATTTGCGCTACTGACGTTACCAAGTCTATCCCAAGACCAATGATCAACAGGGCCCAAAAATGCATTCCGTTCATCTAGAGGACAGCAGGCTTTGTCAACCCGATTTCAACCCGGTTTGAAGGCCAAATCACCAGTATCACCAGTTGTTTTTCTTTTTTAACCAGATGCACCAGGTTGTTTCGTTTGATCAGCAGGATTCTCAAGTAAATCACCAGCCGTTTTCGACGTCTGAAACCAGCTGAAACCAGCTGAAACCAAGGACAGCGACGGCTTGCTCTCCATCCAAAGCTCCAACCTGCTGTCGGGTGCCATGGGACCTGTGCGGCGCTCAGGAAGGGTAGGGATGGTGATTTGATATTTATATAGATAGTATTACATCTAAATCTCATTATATTTATATCTATTATATCTATTTATATCCATCTATTTATATCTATGATATGAGATTTAGATAGTATCAAATGATATTTATCAATATTTATCATAGATATTTATCAACGGATGGTATTTACATGTATTTACAATGATGGTAAAGATGATGATAGACTGAAAATTCTCTGTAAATCATTGTAACTCTATGAAATTTACATCGTTTTACTGTAATATGTTTTAATGTGACTATTGAATATTGGATTTATTTACAACTGAACCTTAGTGGCCATGAAATCATGGGAACACATGGGAAACACATGGGAATTTATAGGGAACATCATTGGGCCATTGGGATCTAATGGGAATATAACAATAGTGGACGATATTTATAGGGGTTGTAGGTAGTTTTTTTGGGATATCATTGGGTCATTGGGAGATTTTTTTTGGGACAGCTGGGAAAGCCCAGCACTAAGATTTGGAGGTTTTGAGTTGGGAAAATCATCGAACTGAATGGAAAACGCAGGATTTTCCAGGCAATGTTGGAGGTTATCCAGTGGTTAGGAGCGGTTTGGAGCTCTGGATATCCATATTCCAAAGCAAAAAAGGGAAGCCAGTTGGAGCTACCAATGGAGTTTCTAAGCACATGAAGATGGTTATCTCATACAGCATATAATGGGAAAGCCCAAGGCCATCAAGCATCCCATTCACCATTAGGGGATCCCTTGACATCATCAACCTCTACTGGGGATGGTTACCCGGCCTGGTCAACTAACAGTTTGCGAACTGGAAAATCACGATGTTATAGCTGGGTAAATCCACTATTTCTATGGCAATTTTCAATAGCAAACTATTAGTTTACCAGAGGGTATATCATATAAAGCCGAAACTCAGCACCTTAGAGTCTCCAAGTTTGGACTTCTGCTAGTCTGCAAGAGGATTTCGCGGGGATTCAACCAACCCCTCAGTGAGGCCCCAAGAATAAAGGTTACTTAAGGGCTTGCACGCCAGCACCAGCCACAAATATAATGACTTATTAGCCATCGATTATTGCCGGGCTCCCGTTGGAAGGGTTAGGTTGAATCCCCGTGAATATTCATTTCTGTCCTCATTGCTGAAGTCTGCCAATCTTTTGTCAGCTGGGCAGTGTTATGTTTGATGATTATGGGGAGTTACCAACAACAATTGGGGATGATCACATACCATGAAGACTAGGAATCTCCATGAATCAATCATGATCAAACCAAAAGAAACAACACCACATACAAAACCATGTGCAACATTGTGCAACATGATTATTTGGGTGGATTTTTGAAGTCACTTTTACTAAGGTCTCCTTGGAATTGTCCCAAAACCGCGGTCCGCGTGGCTCGTCTCGTGCCGTCTCTCAGAGGCTTGGACAGAGGAGCAGGAGCGAGGCTTCCGACAAAAGGCCCGGTGGAAATGCTGCGGAGAAATGGCAAGATTTCTCGGGATATTATAAGGGGATTATAGGGGTTTATAAGGGATTTATAAGGACTTATTAAGGGATTTAATCCCTTATAGGGATTTTTTTGGGATTTCTAAGGGGTCACAAGGCGGGATCGGCTCAAACTTCCCATGATTTACAGGGACTGATATAGGGATGATACAAGGGATAGTCATGGGGATAGAATTGGGATTTACAGCTTTTACTATTTTCAATGTTAAGATTTAAATTGTGGAAAATCATATGATTACCCCAAAATGGATACCAGATACAGAACAAAAATATACACTGTATGATCCATTGGTATCCGATTTTTGGAGCCAGAGCCAATTGACGAGCATGCAGCATGCGTTGACAACTCAAGCTTCAAAACCTACGATATCCGATATCACATGAAGCAAATAAGCGGGTACAGCCAAGAACAAATAGTAGCAATGCATCCAGAAAACCAGTGGACCATCCCTCTGAGAGACCCGGTGTTTTTTTTCAAAACCACCGGCGAGATGTGGTTGTTTTGTTGGCGATGACAGTGATATCCACAGATATTTTGTTATTTTGTTTCTCATCTTCATATTTGCCGATGTATTCAAGCATTTTGCTGGTCACACCATCATACAGCCACTTGAAGTTTTTTGTTTTTTTACCCCCACATCTTTTGGATTCCGGCTGCGCATGTCATTGCTGACATGTTGAAAGTTTTCGTCAAATCCTGAAAGCCATCACCGTTGGATTTTAGGCATCCCATGGCCACTGAAATCCATCGCCATTATGCGCAGGTTACAGCCATTTTTCTGGAGGTGCGGTCGCGCCGGAAGATGTGGGTGAATCATGTTTGAATATTGTGCTTGTAACATCTTGCAACCATGAGTCAGTAGCTTAATGGCAATGATGGCTGCAGCTACTCAGTCCTTTGGCAACTGCTTGCCGTGAGTCTCACATCCCAATAACATTGAGATTCGTTCATCATGACTCAGATAGAATCCTGATATTCCTATCATATCAACTTCTGATAATCAGAAATCCACCATTTGCATCCATTTGCTTGCCACTTCCTTGCTGTGAAACTCTACGAGCCGAACATGTCAACATAGATCGCTCCAAGAATTCACCCGTTCAAACACCTCCCCCTAAAACCATGGTGGATGGACGGGATTCGTATTTGGGACCATAAACCATGGTGGATGTTTGATGTTAGGAGGATGGGATTCATCATTCACTTAAATGATTTTCTTTGTTTCTAGATGATTTTCACACATGGAACATGATGGAATGTTTTTGTAGATGATTTGTCTATAATCCAGAAGTTCACATACACATATAATTACGTGTATATAATATACATATACTGTATATATATATAAATATACATAAATGATATCAATATAAGTATAAATAATCACACATATTATCACATATATTTTCAGTTATGATTCTATATTTATACCCATTATGTGTTGAGTAAAATATACCCATTATAATATAATTATGATTCAACACCAGTTATTCTACCCATTTTTTTCCAACTGAAAAACCTTCCACGGTTTTTAGGCCATGGTGCTTCTCCTCCACCGGTGTCCTGAGCTTTCGCAGAAAGTTCAAGACACGCCGGAGTCGCCTCTTGGCGTTTTCTATTCCCATGGGAATCCACTGGGAAAACCATGGGAAAACCATGGGAATAGAGGAATCCACTGGGAAAACCATGGGAAAACCCATGGGAAAACAGAAGGTTTTCACCGCATGCAGGGTTGCTTCATCTCACTTGAGATACATTATAGCCGGGGGGAACATGTATCAAATGTTTATCACGCTTTTTAAATCAATAGTATCAATATTTATCAACATTCACCAACATGTATGAATCCCACTTTGATAATTGTACTTGTTGTCTACTATTTCATCCAACATTCTTTCTCTACAAACCTTCCAACATGATCATTCTTTATCTACAAACTTTTTCCCCAGGGAGCTGACATTTCAAGCTGGGTAGACTACCAACCTGGGATGGATAGATTTACCTGTTTTTTTTTCGTTTGCGAACTGGGAAATCACCATGCTATTAGGTAAATCATCATGTTTATCATCTATTAATAGCATTTACAACCATTTATATAGTTATTATCTATCTATTTATTTACCATTATGTTTAAATGGGTCATTTTCCATAGCTATGTTAAATAACCAGAGGGTAAATGGGGAGATGTACTGTATAACTAGTAGATTCTACTCGTGCAAATCTGTGGGAAATACACCTACTTGGTACGAAGACCAAGGATAGTATCCAAGTTCACTATGTGGGTTCGTCCGGAAATGGCGTGCATCCAATCTATTGCAAATTTAACGGGGAAAATGAGAATAACCCACTGGAATTCGGGGGACCCTGTTTTTGGGCAAAGCGATTTGTACAATTGATATCCGGGGGTCCCATTTGAGTTGCAGATGACATCACTTTTTAGGGGTGGGGCACCTAAATTCACAGATTCACGCGCGCACACACACAAGCACCATCTCAGCCAAAAAGAGATAGAATTTTGACTTACCACATGATCTGTCAGGGTTTTGGGGAAAAATCTAAAGTCTCAATCATATTCCTCTATGTATCGGTGTAAGGGACGATTTACAGGACATCCTTAATTCTATTTCAGAGGGAAACCAATATTTGTCTGGATATTCCCTCAAACCACTCTATTGAATTCCCCATTATTTGTTGGTCATAACGTGGGGTATCCCCCATCATTGGACAAGCCCACAGAATGTAATATCTTCGCAACGCACAAGTAGGGGTACAGGTTTCCACTTCAATTCTTGTCAAACCTGGGCCCCGGGCCCTATTTTTTTGTGTGTCAACTATAGATGTTGGATGATTTTGCAGTGGTCAACATCTATGAAATATTATTTCCCTGATTTATCACTCATGTTTCATGCTTAAATCACCAGTGAATTGGAAGCCCCAGGCCAACCAAGTCCAAGGCTGGAGGGGGACGGCCCTGGTTCAGCATCATAAAGCGTATGGTGCCTCCTAGACGAACAGAATGTTCAGCGATATTCCATTTGTCGTTGTCGTTGTCGTGGTGGTTGTTGTCGTTGTTGTCGTTGTTGTTGCTGTTGTTGCTGTTGTTGCTGTTGTTGCTGTTGTTGCTGTTGTTGCTGTTGTTGCTGTTGTTGCTGTTGTTGCTGTTGTTGCTGTTGTTGCTGTTGTTGCTGTTGTTGTCGTTGTCGTTGTCGTTGTCGTTGTTGTCGTTGTTGTCGTTGTGGTTGTGTTGTTGTTGTTGTTGTTGTTGTTGTTGTTGTTGTTGTTGTTGTTGTTGTTGTTGTTGTTGTTGTTGTTGTTGTTGTTGTTGTTGTTGTTGTTGATATATATATATATATATATGTATATATTATAAATATGTGTATATATATACATAGAGACTACATATATATATATATACATATACATATCTATAGACATACATACATAATCATACATATATGTATATGCAGTAGAATGCCAGCAAGTGTAGATTTCAGATGCGTTGGTTACATCACGATGCGTCTGCATGGAACCCAAGTCGAAAGGGGTTGAGAATTGCAGTGGAGTCCACCCTGATTTTTGCGGCACGGAGGATGCGGATGCAGAGAAAGCGTTATTGGAGGAGCTTGCAGCTGATGGGATTGCTTCTTCACCATCAACAAACACAAATAGGGGGCTTGTTACAAGTGCTCGGGTTAAGTCGTATCAGCTTCTAAAAGTCGTATCGAGAAGCCGTGCGCCTGGAAAAAGATCAAGTTTGGCATCATCACAACTTTTAGTAATTGAACGATTTCATTTTTTTGGGGCCGTGAGACTTCAGACCTGGTTCCTGAAACGCCCTTTTTTGAATGTAATCCGGTAATCCGTTATTTTCTTTAAATAAAGCACCTTTACTACTGTGATGTTATGAATATATTGCGGCAATGCCGTGTGGGTGGCAGAGGGACACAGTCATGCAGCTGTGCATTCAGTAGGCCTGGGCGGGAAAGGAGCGATCCACCACACCCGGAGTTATTTTCCCCACTATCAAACTACCAATTCCTAGTAACTACTAGTAGGTACTAGGGGTAGTAGGATAGTAATTAGATGTAGTAATATGACGTGCAAACCCCTTTTTTCGCCCGCACACACACACACACACACACCTCTTTTGCAGTTTCCAAGTCCATTGAAGAGCGATATTGTCTAGCGTGCTGAAGGTAACCTTAAACATGTTTCAACCTCGACCCCTGTTAAATTTTATTTTCAAGGGCATCTTCAAGAGAGTTTCCAGGGTTTAGGGTTTGGGATGATGATGATGATGATGATGATGATGATGATGATGATGATGATGATGATGATGATGATACATTCAACGCACAGGTAGCTAAGCTGTGCGTTGCAAGATGAAAACCATCATCCTGGACATGTGCATTTTGTCCCACAAAACACAGTGATTTTGGATGTTCGGACACGTGGTTTCGCGGGCAAGAGAGGGGGTTTGCCCGTAGTATTACCATATACCTCATATACCATCTACATGTATAATACCATATATATATATATATATATCGTTCTTTTGGCAACTCTCAAGCCGTAAACTCTGTCAGTATGGGCTACGCGACTAGTTTCGACCCCAAATGGGTCTCATTGCGCCTCAGGAGGTGCGCCGGAGCAACGCCTGGGAACGCTTCATGGCGTTGCCCTCCAACAGCCCCAGGCAGGGAAGCGCTAAGTTGTTGCAAAGAACTGGGGGTTAAGTAGGGTTTATATGGGTTTATATGAGTTTATATGGGTTTATATGGGTTTATATGGCTTTAGATGTGTTTATATGAGTTTATATGGGTTTATATGGGTTTATATGGCTTTAATATGGCTTTAGATGTGTTTATATGGGTTTATATGGGTTTATATGGCTTTAGATGTGTTTATATGGGTTTATAATATGAGTTTATATGGGTTTATATGGCTTTATATGAGTTTATATGGTTTTATATGGGTTTATATGGCTTTAGATGTGTTTATATGGGTTTATATGGGTTTATATGGTTTTAGATGTGTTTATATGGGTTTATATGAGTTTATATGGGTTTATATGGCTTTAGATGTGTTTATATGGGTTTATATGCGTTTATATGGGTTTGTATGGCTTTAGATGTGTTTATATGGGTTTATATAAGTTTATATGGGTTTATATGGGCTTATATGAGTTTATATGGGTTTATATGGGTTTACATGGATTTATATGGGTTTATATGGGTTTCTATGAGTTTATATGGGTTTATATGAGTTTATATGGGTTTATATGGCTTTAGATGTGTTTATATGGGTTTATATGAGTTTATATGGGTTTATATGGCTTTGGATGTGTTTATATGGGTTTATATGCGTTTATATGGGTTTATATGGCTTTAGATGTGTTTATATGGGTTTATATAAGTTTATATGGGTTTATATGGGCTTATATAAGTTTATATGGGTTTATATGGGTTTACATGGGTTTATATGGGTTTATATGGGTTTATATGAGGTTATATGGGTTTATATGGCTTTAGATGTGTTTATATGGGTTTATAGAATGGGCTAGCGCCCGGGTGCCGCCGACCCCCTTTTTTTGGGGGGGCTGCGGGGCTTTTGAGGCTTTTAAGGGGTGCGCAAAACGTGCCACGTAGCAGTTCCGAAGCCCAATAGAAACAGCTTGTGGGGCCTAGGGAGGTACCATGGCAAAGCAGGCGGGACGCGTTTGCAAGCTGCTGCGGAGGGTTTTGCGGTTCAAAGGCATTCGAAAGCTGCTGCGTGGCTTTTGAGGCTTAAGGGGCGCCTAAAGCGTGCCACGTAGCAGTTCCGAAGCCCAATAGAAACAGCTTGTGGGGCCTAGGGAGGTACCATGGCAAAGCAGGCGGGACGCCTTCGAAAGCTGCTGTGGAGGGTTTATGTGTGGTTCAAAGGCCTTCGAAAGCTGCTGCGGGGCTTTTGAGGCTTAAGGGGCGCCTAAAGCGTGCCACGTAGCAGTTCCGAAGCCCAATAGAAACAGCTTGTGGGGCCTAGGGAGGTACCATGGCAAAGCAGGCGGGACGCGTTTGCAAGCTGCTGCGGAGGGTTTTGCGGTTCAAAGGCATTCGAAAGCTGCTGCGGGGCTTTTGAGGCCCCACAAGCTGTTTCTATTGGGCTTCGAAACTGCTACGTGGCACGTTTTGGGCACCCCTTAAAAGCTTCAAAAGCCCCGCAGCAGCTTTCGAAGGCCTTTGAACCGCAAAACCCTCCGCAGCAGCTTGCAAACGCCCCCCGCCTGCTTTGCCATGGTACCTCCCTAGGCCCCACAAGCTGTTTCTATTGGGCTTCGAAACTGCTACGTGGCACGTTTTGGGCACCCCTTAAAAGCCTCAAAAGCCCCGCAGCAGCTTTCGAAGGCCTTTGAACCGCAAAACCCTCCGCAGCAGCTTGGTACCTCCCGAGGCCCCACAAGCTGTTTCTATTGGGCTTCGAAACTGCTACGTGGCACGCTTTAGGCGCCCCTTAAGCCTAGGGAGGTACCATGGCAAAGCAGGCGGGACGCCTTCGCAAGCTGCTGCGGAGGGTTTTGCGGTTCAAAGGCCTTCGAAAGCTGCTGCGGGGCTTTTGAGGCTTTTAAGGGGTGCCCAAAAAGTGCCACGTAGCAGTTTCAAAGCCCAATAGAAACAGCTTGTGGGGCCTAGTAGGGTACCATGGCAAAGCAGGCGGGACGCCTTCGCAAGCTGCTGCGGAGGGTTTTGCGGTTCAAAGGCCTTCGAAAGCTGCTGCGGGGCTTTTGAGGCTTTTAAGGGGTGCCCAAAAAGTGCCACGTAGCAGTTTCGAAGCCTAATAGAAACAGCTTGTGGGGCCTAGGGAGGTACCATGGCAAAGCAAGCGGGACGCCTTCGCAAGCTGCTGCGGAGGGTTGTGCGGTTCAAAGGCCTTCAAAAGCTTTTAAGGGGTGCCCGCAGCAGTTTCGAAGCCCAATAGAAACAGCTTGTGGGGCCTCGGGAGGTACCATGGCAAAGCAGGCGGGACGCCTGCGCAAGCTGCTGCGGAGGGTTTTGCGGTTCAAAGGCTTCGAAAGCTGCTGCGGGGCTTTTGAAGCTTTTAAGGGGTGCCCAAAACGTGCCACGTAGCAGTTTCGAAGCCCAATAGAAACAGCTGGTGGGACCTCGGGAGGTACCATGGCAAAGCAGGCGGACGCCTTCGAAAGCTGCTGTGGAGGGTTTATGTGTGGTTCAAAGGCCTTCGAAAGTTGCTGCGGGGCTTTCGAGGCTGCCCAAAACGTGCCACGTAGCAGTTTCAAAGCCCAATAGAAACAGCTTGTGTGGCCTAGTAGGGTACCATGGCAAAGCAGGCGGGACGCCTGCGCAAGCTGCTGCGGAGAGTTTTGCGGTTCAAAGGCTTCGAAAGCTGCTGTGGGGCTTTTGAAGCTTTTAAGGGGTGCCCAAAACGTGCCACGTAGCAGTTTCGAAGCCCAATAGAAACAGCTGGTGTGACCTCGGGAGGTACCATGGCAAAGCAGGCGGACGCCTTCGAAAGCTGCTGTGGAGGGTTTATGTGTGGTTCAAAGGCCTTCGAAAGTTGCTGCGGGGCTTTCGAGGCTGCCCAAAACGTGCCACGTAGCAGTTTCGAAGCCCAATAGAAACAGCTGGTGGGGCCGCGGGAGGTACCATGGCAAAGCAGGCCGGACACCTTCGCAAGCTGCTGTGGAGGGTTTTGCGGTTCAAAGGCCTTGGAAAGCTGCTGCGGGGATTTTGAGGCTTTTAAGGGGTGCCCAAAACGTGCCACGTAGCAGTTTCGAAGCCCAATAGAAACAGCTGGTGTGACCTCGGGAGGTACCATGGCAAAGCAGGCGGGACACCTTCGCAAGCTGCTGTGGAGGGTTTTGCGGTTCAAAGGCCTTCGAAAGCTGCTGCGGGGCTTTTGAGGCTTTTAAGGGTGCCCAAAACGTGCCACGTAGCAGTTTCGAAGCCCAATAGAAACAGCTGGTGGGGCCGCGGGAGGTACCATGGCAAAGCAGGCGGGACGCCTTCGCAAGCTGCTGTGGAGGGTTTTGCGGTTCAAAGGCCTTCGAAAGCTGCTGCGGGGAAGGGGTGCCCAAAACGTGCCACGTAGCAGTTTCGAAGCCCAATAGAAACAGCTTGTGGGGCCTCGGGAGGTATCATGGAAAGCAGGCGGGACGCCTTCGCAAGCTGCTGCGGAGGTTTTACGGTTCAAAGGCCTTCGAAAGCTGCTCCGGGGCTTTTGAGGCTTTTAAGGGCCATGCCGCACACCTACGGTGATCCCGGGCGCCGCCCTGCCTAGGCCAAGGCTAGGCAGGGGTCGGCGGATATGAGTTTATATGGGTTTATATGGGTTTACATGGGTTTATATGGGCTTATATGGGTTTACATAGGTTTATATGGGTTTATATTGGGTTATATGAGTTTATATGAGGTTATATGGTTTTATATGGCTTGATATGGGTTTATATGGCTTTATATGAGTTTATATTGGTTTATACGAGGTTTTATATTATATGAGTTTATATGGGTTTCTATTGGTTTATACGAGTTTATATGGGTTTATATGGGTTTATATGAGTTTATATGGGTTTATATGGCTTTATATGGCTTTAGATGTGTTTATATGGGTTAATATGAGTTTAGATGTGTTTATATGGGTTAATATGGCTTTATATGGCTTTAAATGGCTTGATATGGGTTTTATATGGTTTTATATGGGTTTTATATTATGTGAGTTTATTTGAGTTTATTTGGGTTTATATGAGTTTATATGGTTTTATATGGGTTTATATGAGTTTATATGGGTTTATATGTGTTTATATGGGTTATATAGTCTTTACAACTATAGTTCGATGGTTTTTTAAATATTGATATAGAATCGAACTAGATGAACTTAGGGCTTATAGTGGTTAGAACTAATCGATGCAGTTATAAACCATCTAGAAACACGTTTTGGGGCACCAGCTTGCAGGTTCTGGGTTTTCTGAAACTATGGATTTGCGACGATTTGCATGCTAATATCAAGTTATACGGTCTTCTAAAACTGGATTTGCGACGGTTTTCGTGCTTATTCCAAAGTTATATCATGTCACAAAAGTCTTGAAAGCTCCTGGAAATATGAGGAACTTGCATTTTCTCAACCATACAATTTCTGCGGGCAAAATGTTTATAGAAACCCATGGCCGGCCTCAATTGATCGAGATGTGTATCTCTCGATCCCAAAAAGTGCATACTGTTTGATAGTGCATATATATATATACACATAGGAACACACATGTCTTTACATATCCATTAGCTTCACATTGATGTATGTGTATATATATATATTATATATAATATTATAATATACACATATTTACGCATGTGCAGATCAATTGCATTGTTAACTAAATTAATTAGCACATAAATCGATAGGTATCGCATGTACAGGCATCTATGTATGTATAAGCCAACATAGCTTGAAATACGGGATGCATATATTCTGTTGCTTAGAAACCTCTGGACCGAGGCGTCAACTGTTTGACCAAGCGATACGTCCGGGCCCATGCCGGGCATACCACCTTTTCAGACCCAGATGAAGCACTGGAGATTTCAGGTGCCAGGGGATAGAACATATGGCTGCAATCCCTGGAAAAAATATGCTGAGGGCCATCTTCCAGAGATTTCCAGAGATTTCCCACATGTTTTCGGATTCCACATAAAATTATTTCTTGGGCATTTACCCCACAAATCGAGCAGAGCTGGAATAACTATCCTGGCATGCTGCGGGTTGCGTCTGGCATCCACTTACATAATGTTTATTTGTTCATCACGCAGATATTTTCCCAGTTTCATTTTTCGTGTGTAAAACACACATTTATCCCGGTTTTGTTGGCAAGTCCTCTCCATGTGTACCGTGGTCAAAAGTTGGATAGATTCAATGCGCACACAGGATTTCAGAAGCTGCTGTGTAATGGTCATGGTGATGGATATCAATGGATAAGGAAAAAATACAGGAAACCCCTATATTTCACGGGAAAATCGATAGTTTCCGGTTAAGATTTTCCCTTAAGCCAATCCATTGAGGATAGCAAATTAGTTGCACCCAAATTTTAGATGTTGTGAAGTCAGAGTGGACATCGATCCCCCATTTTGGAGGGGTGATCATCAGTCCATTAATTTTTTGGGTTTCACAGCCGTTACAAGGATTTCCCTTATGGGATGGATGTTTCCATGAACATAGCCACTGTATAGCCATGATGTTCCCAAGATGTTCGCAAGATGTTCCGTTTTTGCGTTCCCATGAAATCTACAATAATTCCCATGTAACTTGACGAGGCCTCTATAGCTTCTGGTCCCAAGAGCCAGCGGAAAGTGGGGAAGCCCGAGAAATCCCGGGGCTCCTGAGAAACATTAATTCTACGCAAAGGCTTAAAGGGATACCCTCTGGTAATTTAACATAGCTATTGAAAATGGCATTTTTTAATGGGAAAATCCACTATAAATGGCCATTTTCAATAGCTATGTTAAATTACCAGAGGGTAAAGATAAACATTTTTTTTGGGATATGTTTCTTGGGTTTCCAAAATCTTTTTCCAAAGTCTTCATTCTAGATTCAAAACAGGGGGTGGTTGATGATGAGTATGGGGATTCTACTACCCAGTATAGCGGGAAGTATCACAATCCATGGACGGTGACTCCGCTCTCAAGCAACCAGGATCAAAAGGGACGAAGCAGGGTTTTGAACACTGCTCACATGTTTAACCACTTTACCTTCTGGGATACCAGCCAAAAATATATGATTGTGTGTAGGGATACCATTGCGATAATCATTAGGCTAACTATTGGGATATCATATGATATAAATATATAATTTGATATAATGGCCCATTGAGATGTTGGAAATTTCCAAAAAATGGAAATAGGGATAATCATTAGACTAACATGGTATAATGGCAATGATTACCCCATGAGCCTAATGATTATCCTACTTATATATAATTGCAATGATTGATATTCATCATGATATAACCCATTATATAACCCATTACATTATATAATCCATAATCATTATATATCTGGTCGGTGGTTTGGAACATTTTTTATTTTTCCATATATTGGGAATGTCATAGTCCCAACTGACGAACTAATATTTTTTAGAAGGGCAGGTCAACCACCAACCAGTTATATTTGATAATCAAGATATGGTTACACCAACCACCACCAACCAATCATGGCAATAGATGGCAATATATGGTTATAACCACCACCAATCATGGCAATATATCTGGGTAAATTTAATCACGACCTCACTGTTCTCCCTCACTGGAATCATGGTTAATGTTAGGGAAATCATCCCCTTTTATGGCCGAACTATTCAGGTTAGTGAAATATTGTAATTTACCCAGATTAATATTGATAGTAACCATTAATAATAAACATTAATAATAACCATTAATAGTATAGTATATTACCATATATAACCATAATACCATAATGATATATGTAACCTCTGGTAATTTGAAGTTTCCCAAACTGGCCGATGTCTGACATGTCTGACATCCCTTGGAGGTCGCAAACCCTTGGACCACCACCTGCGCGACTGGGTCACACGTTCCTTGGATCGACGTAAAACGTCGAAACGTTGAAACGTTGAAAGCTGGAAATTATGGAGGGAACATCTGATTATTTGAGGAATAGCTTGGAAAAAACATTTTTATGTTAAATAACCTTTTTTTTGGGGGGTACACTCTGATTATTTAACATAGCTATGGAAAAAGGATGAAAAAGGCCCATTTATAACTGATAAAAACATGATGATTTAGATACCTATTAAAAATGGTGATTTCCCATAGCTACGTTGACCAGAGGGTATACTATACGTGTATGTGTTTCTTTTTGTAGGTATCTCTATGCCGACACAACGGGGATTTTCATGCAGAGCACTGGATTTGGGGTATGGATTTCCCCTCAACAAACCATGACAAACCCACGTAAGTATTTGTAAGTATTTGTCAGTACCACATAGAGTAAATTTACCTGTAAACTGATTCGGCCAATGTGCTTGTACATAACTTCTTGGTGGTGTGTTAGGGCTTTGTTATTTCCCTACTGTTTGGGATGATAGTCCGATAATCCCCGATGGTTATTGTTTTGTAAGGATGTTGAAACCACGAACCAGATGAATGTGCATGCTAATCCTTGAAACAACTGCTTCAGAGGCATCGCGTATTTGGGAGCATGATTTGGGAAGCATCCAGTGTGCAATTTATAAACAGGCTTGAGAGGTGACTACGGAAATGCAGAAAGTGTCGAGAGGTTTAAAACAGACTCCGGCAAACCATTTTGTGTGAGAGTCAAAGTTCAAGATCACCGAATCTTATGGGTCGGAAAAAGTTGGGGAATTTTTCACGTGGCTATCTAAATCGACCCATTTATGGATGATGTAGCTATTAATGTCAACCCCGGATTAATAAACCATGGTTTATTAATTTAGGGGTATTCCCCCAATAGTCATGATTTGATACTTAAATGGTACCTTCCCAATTAAACAGCCTAGGGGTTTATTAATCCAGGGTTGATATTAACAATGATGATTTTGTCCAATGATTTCCCCTCAATTTGTGGCTCTCCAGCTCCTTTCAGGAGGGGCCAACTGAGGTCTGTATGAACCTCCGCAACTGATTTGCTTGCTTGGCGACCTGGTCATGTCATGCGATCACTACCCCCATGAGTTGGGATATGGGCCCCCCATAACTGTGTATGTGTATATATATAATTATATAACCTAATATAGGTTATTATATATATATATGTATGTATAATATATATATATATGACTATAGCTGGAACTGTACCAATCATTGACCCAAGAACCTTTCTTGTGAACCTTCAAGATCACCCTCCTGACATGTTTGCATTTTGATTTGTAGAACTTAAACCCTGGGTTCTGACTGATTTTGGTGAATCGGGCTTCCAAAATAACAGTGGTCCCAACCTAAATGTCAATCAGACTTGATACCCAGGGATGCATAGTTGTTTTACTTTATTTTTTTTCGCATGGTCGAGACTTTTGTCCAACATGTCTTTTTGAAGTGTAAGCAGTTGTCTGCCATTATTGTTGGTTGAATCATTGAATCCTGTTGTTTGTGTTGTGAAATCTTTCTGCTGGTTGGCTGACTCCTCAATTTGACTTGCCTGGATTTCCCATGTTTTGCTCAGTTTGCTAAAATCCGATGTTTTTTTGATGAAGCATACCAGTTTTCTTCGTGAAACAAAAGTGGTTGGTGAGCTCATCATTTTGTCGTCGGTCTGAGAATGGGTATACCCCCCAAAGGTTAGCACGGCCCAGGAGCGAACTGTCGGTCCTGCGTTGCGGACAGCTCCAACCGTCACCGAATAGCAGTTATTGCCAGAGATGGTCCAAATAGCAACAAGAAACATGCGGGGCTGTTGTTATGTATATATATATAGATAGTATATCTGTTTGGTGGTTTGGAACATGTTTTATTTTTCCATATATTGGGAATCATCATCCCAACTCATATTTTTCAGAGGGGTAGGTATACCACCAACCAGATATATATTATATAGATATGTGTTGTTATTGGTCGCCAGATATCACAACATTTGTTGACTTTTTGGTGGTGAACGCCTTGTGGCCTTTTGGTGCCTTTTGGTGGAACATGTTTTTGGCGAGTCTGGGTCCAAATTGTGATACATAGTCAATACCAAGACATGACGAGGAAACCATTGTAGCGTCTGGGGACCCATTTGCCCATTGTGGTGTGTGCAACTTAGAAGTTGTGACCCAAACAAAGTCCCTTAATTATCCGGAATGGTTCACGAGATCATCTAGCACACGTCAAGTCTCTTTTTCTAGACAGCTTGAAAGCCACCGGGCCACCAGCTATGGCGTGTAATCACCTTGGAATTTTTATACCACAATGACTACTGTAGGGGTTCATAACCAGGTTTTCCAGGATGAAAAAAAAAAGATGTTCACCTGATAATTATCAAGATTCCAACCTTTCTAGCTTTTTTTTCTAGACAGCAGTGACCCGTCGTTCGCTAAGGTGGTTTAAAACTAGGTTTACTCGGGTTTGTATTGGATCATGGTTTCTATTTGTCCATCGATTGGTCTTCCCATCGATCTGTCTATCGATCTATCTGTCTATCTATCTTCTAGCAACTTGGGGGTATCAAAATGTACATATCCCAAAGTAGATACCAAAGTCATCTACGGTCCCTTTTCTGTGACTGAGGCAGATACCAATCAAAAAGCTTCTGCAACAACGCTTGACCTCAAAGACCCAGCTGGGGGTGGGAGGGACTGAAACAACCGGGCTTTAAACCCAGTCACTTTTCTTTTTAATAGGAAAACCTAAAGGAAACCATCGATTTTTTGTCAAATATGGAGGTTCAGGTTTAAGATTTCCCATCATCCAATCCGGTGACTCAGAGACTTTCCCAGTTGTCATCAGTATTTATCTTCGTAAAATGCATGCGTGTTCATCCTTGGCATCCTCATTCCTGCAACGTTGAGCTACCCTTTGGTAATCCAACATAGCAATTGAAGATCCTCCATTTGCAGATTCCCATTTGTAGTGGATTTTCAATTTTCCCATGATTTTCCCATGATTTTTCCCATTGAAACAGCTCCAGTTTTGTCGTTCGGGCTTTCTTCGCGCCGCCAGGAAGCGCTCCCGCTTCCTGCCGCTGGGTGAGTTGAACTTGAAGGAGCTCTTTGAGGCCTGGAGCCATGGGCTGCCAGGCAAAGGTATATAGATATACTGTATATATCTCTATGTATATTGTATATATACTGTATATATCTGTACGTATCTGTATATATCTATAGATATACTGTGTATATCTGTGTATATCTGTATATATCTGTATATGATATCATAGAAAAAAACCAAAAAACTGCGAAAAGTAGAATCCTTCTGAATTACCCAGCAGTGGATGACCTCCACTCAGTCAAAGGTGGCGGGCGGGTGTGTTGGGACTTGGAGTTTTGCTTTGCTATTTGGATGTTTGTTTATTCTCCATGGACACACAAATAGTGTTGCATTGGATATAGGTATGTGCATATATATATATATATTATATACATACATATATAGATAATTGCACACACACATATATATATATATATGCATGTACCGTATACATATCGCAATATATATATAAATACATATGTGTATATTCTAGCCCCTTGAGCAAATCGGAGGTTGCGTCAAGTCATGGTTACATTTATATATGTTTGGTCCTTGGCCACTAAAGTGGTCATTGCCGGTTGGCTGCACAATTGCTTGTGACAAAGATCTCCAGTGGGCCGTGGACTGCCCACGTACTTTTTTGCGAAAGAAAAGCCATATTTGCTGGCCATGTTTAAATCTCATTTTATTGATTCAACATGATTAAACCATTGTTTTGTTATCATCCCCACAAGAAAAACAGCTCGACCCTGACAAAGTCCACCCGGTTTTTGAAGCGGTTCGGACCCCATCAGGTGGAAGTCAAAAAGGACACGGTGGCTGCGATCTACCCCGGTGTTGGTTGAAAATGATAGGGCAAATGATAGTCATTTAATAGAGGTTTAACAATGAAATAAGGGGATAGAAATGGATATAACATGATACAACTGATGATGGTTGATGATTAGTTTAGGGATTAACCTAACCAATAGTCATGGAGGAATATCAGAATCCAATGACAGAGAATTGCTCAGATGACTGGGATTCAGTTGTTTGTTCCTATGAGATGTTTAACTACAGTGAAACTGTATGTGTCTTTTTCCAGCAAGCGGCTTCCAATGTTCTTCTCCTTAGGTCCTAGGGATTTGAAGAAGACTCGACCATGTCGGTCCCAAGAAGTGGAATCTCACATATCAACACACGAAACATTTTGAGAGTTCATGGGAAGTCAATGCACCAACGCAATCGCACATAGAAGATCATGGAAACCACAATTGCCCATATTTTTAAAAAATACTTTTTTGTGGGTTCATGGATTGATGTCAGGCCCGGCAGTATTGAGTGATCACCCTGTGGTTGTTCGTTGTATTTCCTCTGACTTTGCATCTTTGTTTGTAGAATGTGAAACATATTCGATGTCATGGTATCTTCAAAATCTCCATGGTCTTTATGTCACCTGGTTGGTGGTTTGGAACATTTTTATTTTCCCATATATAGGGAATAATCATCCCAACCCAATAATATTTTTCAGAGGGGTTGAAACCACCAACCAGTCACAGATTGCCATAGAATGTCGGGTCCATCTACCAAGCTTGTACCTTGCACCCCCAGGAGAAGCCAGAACGTCCCAGCTGCACGGGGGTCCCCAGGCCGAATGGGGATTGGTTGTGACTTCTGGATACCCAAGCCACATGAATGGGTCACTATATATATATACTTACATACATATAATATTCTATAGTATATATGTAGAATTTGGCAAATGGCATATGGGTATGACAACTATATTCTATCATATTATATCACTAATTGTCATGTTCGCTTTCTTCTGATTTTGGATGTGGAAACTCGGGTACTTGGCCCAGAGATGGCCCGTCCCTATGGCATTTGGCCCAAGCTGAAACACTAGGGTGAGCAATCTGATGTATGTTACACTTGAAATGATGGCGATTATAAACCACCCTCACACAGGAACATGTTTCTTATCAAAGTCTCTTCCACTACGAGAGGCATTGTTCAACACTGTTTTCGACTCCCAGAAAAGAACACAACAGAGCAGTGGCTTGAGAAATTTCTGAGGGAATACTACCCTTCATACATCGGGGTCGGAATCCACTATCAATCCAGTACAGGAAATCCTGGCAGTTGCATCCCCCGGGAACCGGGTTCCCGGTCCGATGGCTCCTTGTTTTCTGGATGTCAAAACGACACCGCGACGACCACTGGCAACAAAGGGGGCCCAAGTTCCACTTTGTACTTTGGGTGTCTTGGCATCATTTTTTTTCAGGAGAAACACCAAACAAGTCCGAAATTTTGTGAATGAAAGTAATAAACATCAAGAGATCGTTTTATAATGTTTTATAGCTTGTATATGCCTATATGATATACTCAGAATATCTCAAGATGATGTAGGGTGTCTTGGAAGCGCATGCAGTAGATATGAGTCGATGAACCACTCAGACTGCAGGAAAATTGTACCGAAGTCAGGCGGAGATACCTATATATATATATGTACATATATACATAATATACATACACGTACACACACATATATATATATATACATACATATACGTATATTATAGGTATATTATACCTGTATTATATGTATATTATGATTATAATGTACATTTTTTTTTAAAAAAACATTTATTTCTACATGTATATTTACATTGTACAAATATCATGCTTACACAATCTTTATATACGCATGTTACATTCATATTTTTTCATAGTGATATTACATTGCATTTTATTTCATCACATTGCTACATTATGTTGCATAACCTTATATTGTATTGTATATTGTTGTATTAGTTGCATTGTTTTATATTGTATGAAATTCTATTTTATCTCGTATTGTCTTATATTCTATCATTATGTTATATCATATATGTGCCATACGGCCCGAGGAAAATTGCCCCAACGGCTTCGTCTATGAAGCACCGTTGCGGCTGGTGCCTTGGCGCTCAAACAGGCGGCCCCAGGGCCTGTTTTGTGGCGATGGGCATACTAAGATGGGCGAAGTCTCGATTTTTTGGTGTATCTAAGATGGGCCATTTAGCATATTTTAGCACAGGGGATAAAGAAAAAGTGCTTGTAACATTGTAAGTTGTATATAACTTGATTAGGTGGGAAGAGTTATGTATATTAGTTAGTGTTGCATCTGCCGTGGTGTGATGATAGATAACTTTGGAAAGGCTCAGAGTTTAATTCGGACCTGACTTAGTATGGGGCAGTAGTAAAGGTGACTAATGGTGAATCCATTGGCCCGGGGAAATCTGAGCCATAATTCGCTGTAATCAGTGGTGGTAAGGGCTGATCCAGGCCGATGCTAGCAATGGTCGGAAGCTCTGACCAATGGGAATCGCCCAAGAACCTTAAGCAACCACCTTTGGTGGGTCTGTGGATTGAATCTCGAAGATTGATCACTCCATATCAAGATTATCAAGAGTCGCAGGAAATCTGCACAGGCTAATGAAACTGGGACCTTCTGCACTAGGTCACTAGGTCTTCCGAATCTTCCTTCACAAGCCTTTACGACATTATCTCGTAGTAGCTATTGCATTCTGAACCTGGCCCTGTGATGGCGCAGTAACAAGAACATGCAGGTCATGGGGAACACAGGTCACACAAACATCCCTTGCGGAGCACGTCTCATCCAGTTTGAGTCAGTTGCTATGGCCCCATGCTCCTGCAGTGTTCGCGGGCACATGCCTGCTTGTCTCCATGGCTTCAGGCCAGAGCCGTGATGAAGGTGACCACCTTGCACACCATCATCGCCAACACCATCACAATCAGTATCAGTATCCGTGCCAGTTTCAGAATCATCTGAATACTAAGCAAGCGCACTATCAGAAGCAGGATGAGTCTCAAGATCAGAAAACTTTCAGTATCACTGACGGTATCAGTGTCATCATCATCACCATCACCATCACCATCACCATCATCATCATCATCATCATCATCATCATCGTCATCATCACCATGGGCACAGCACCGGGCACTGTCACCCCTCCTGCCACCACACCTCTGGCAACCTCACGGCCATTGTCCTTCTCATGATCATGGACTTGCTGCTGTTGCTGCTGACGATGATGATGGTGGCTGTGATGATCATCAGGTCGAAGTCATTATCTCCAGAAACAGGTCTTGTGCACTTGAGCAAAACATGTTGTTCAGCGCCACGTCATCACCAGCACAACCACAACCACCACTGATTTTCCTCCTTTGTATTGTAGGATCCTTCTTTCTTATCGCAATGTCCATGTTGGCCAATCTTCTCCTCGCGCATCATGCTGATTCTGCAATGCAATTTTTGCCAGATTTGTACCTGCCTGTAAGAACCTTTGGAGGGTGTATCTTCTATGTCTCAGATATTTCTTACTTTGTTTCGTTTTCTGCGTTTGCCCAAGTCCGCCGGCTGTGCGAGCGCAATGGTTGCAAGCCAGGACGCAGAAGTTGCAGCGAACGCTCTGCCAATGGGCAATTGATGCTAGTCCACGTTTGCTGTGACGATCCCTCTGCGCGAAGGAAGGCTTGACAGTCTGCTGATTTTTTGCCCACCTACAGCAGACAGGGATGCCGACGACGATGATGACGATGATGATGATGATGATGATGGTGATGATGATGATGATGATGGTGATGGTGATGGTGATGGTGATGATGATGATGGTGATGATTATGCAATGGGAAACAGCAGCAGCGGCGGCAGCAGCAGCAGCAGCAGAAGCAGTGGCAATGGCAAAGCTGTTGATGCTGGACTTTTTGAGCCGTGCCAGGGTCAGTTTTTTTTTTTGAGTCGATGCGACCCTCAATGTATGAATGGAATCCCGTTGTAATGGGCCAAAGCAAACATCTTCGGGACCCGCGCAGAAGACATCGAACCAGACATGCCATGGTCAGTGCTCATGAAACCGCGTTCCGCCAATGAAAGGATTGACAGTAGTGCGCGTTGGGCGCTCGTATGTAGCACGAGACTTGGCTGTTGACAGGTTGGGACAGAGCTAGCATTGCATGTGTGGCCCAACTGGGTTGGAGACATGTTCCTTGAATCCTCACGTTCATCACCCCACTTGCAGATTGGAACTTGCTGGGGGATTGTGGGCACCCTCTTGCTTGTTTTCTCCATGCACATAGCAAATAGCAACGCGCTTCGGCTTTCGCAGCCAAACCCACTTGCACTTTGCCAAGCAACTCAGCTGGGTTGCCCGCAAATAGATTCTTTCACCCAGATGGATGATGTAAAAGGCTTGGGTCCCAGACGGGACGCCAAAACATGAGCCACGCTACATCAGAAATTTTGACATTATTGCTGGCAGGTTGGCATTCAGCTGAGTTCAATATTGGTGGCCACACACACACACCCAGCATAGGGACAAAGAACTCGTTAATTTCTAGAACCAGTGGGCTCCAGCATCCTATCTTTATTTTGACCACAAGTTCAAAACACGTGACTCTGATTCCCGTCACAGTGGTCATGCTTATCGATAGCCTGGCTTCACTAGGCCTGTCTGCACCACCGTGTTCCGCTACGAGGCCGCAGGGGGGTAGGAGAAATAGCAGGCACAGCTCTTTCGACGTAGTAGTCGATTCCTTCGGATGGCTGTGCGATTCCCTGCTGAGTTAGGTATTCCTCTGGGTTGGCCCGGTGGTAGGATGCCTGCCGTCTCACGTGTAGACATGCTGCAGACATGATGTGCTGTCGGGCGAGGCATGATGTGTGAACAAGAGGACATGACGAGCCGCTGCATGATGGTGTGAGCATGTGTGAACCCAAACAACGTTTCGAGATCGAAAAAGTGAACACCTGGCCCTATGTGCCGATTGCCTCTGGCTTGTTTGTTCGATGCGCTCGGCCTCCAGTGGCCCGCTGGGAACCGCGTTGAATTGAGACGATGGTCGGTCCTGTTATTGGCCTTCTGTAGCCATCGGGCCATCAGCCTCAGCCACGAAGACAGATCTTCATCATGGTTTGTGAGCTTTTGGGACATCTGAGAAGGTTTGTGACGTCTTTCCGGACCAGTTTGCAATGTGGTGTGTTTTTCCGGCACAAAGCCGCCAAAGTTTGAAGCCTACACTGGAACAGGGCCAGTTTATGCCAGTTTCATGTCTGCAGCTAAAACAATCAAACCAGCAAAAAGTAGCAAGCAACAAGCATCGAACACCAGCCCGCCTCCACATTTTCCACATAGTGACCACAACTCGGCATTGATTGCTGACCGCATCTGCATGGCTAGTTCCAAGAAGGGCCTAGAGATGAACAAGCAGCACCTTATTGACACACACACACACATATATATATATTTAAATACATATATAAAAATATGTCTATGTTTTTGATTCAGAGCCATGTGCGGCAAAGTTCCGAGCTTTGACCCTCTTTATTCTGAAGTTCGCGCGTCCTCAATGAGCGTCCATCCCCAGTTGGAAGTGCCAGTTGGAAGTGAATCCACTACAAGCTTGTGAGTAGTTTCTGGGTTTGTATGCCCTTGAGATCCCAGTCGCTGCCGCAATCAGTTTTCTCTAATCTCCGGGGTGCGCTGCAAGGAAGCACAAGACAGAGTCTTCATCGCATCTCGCCAAAGATTTGCACAGTCGAACCTCACTCCCAGATTCAATGGACTTTTTTTAGCTCCTGGGGCCTTGCTTTTACAGGAGGCAATATGCAGCAGCACGCTGATCCCCCGCAATGCAAACTATCTTGTACACAGTGTAGTTCAGCTGCGCCTCTTCAAGGTTGTCATAGCGCAAGGTGTAATTGTCATTCAGCTGACCTATGTATTCTTCATTGTGTCGCAGGTGCTTGTTGAGTATGTGCACAGGGTCGTCGCAATTTACTCCTGGCTTACAGTCACAGGCGGCTGCAGGGGAAATTTTGTAGGTGGGACCCCTGAGGTGTCATGCGCTCCTGTGTTCTCTCCGAAGGCGGCTGTTGAAGGCGTTAGCATCACAATCAGCACATATTGGGGTTGCAGCGGCTAATGTTGCTTTTCTCATGAATATTCTATACAAGCCGGATTTGCCAGTGCCTGAGAAGCTGCCAGCCTTCCCGAAGTTTCGTCGGGTAGCCCTTCAAAAACCGATTCGATCGGTATATATTTAGATTCACCTTGAAGTTGTACAGGAAGATGAGCTATTTCAAAAGCCGTTTCCATTGGTGTTTAGACTCACCTTCAAATTGGATAGGAGGACGCGGCAGAGCGTAAATCTGATGGGGTAATACAAGCGCGCCGCATTCAAAAATTCATCGGTTCAAGAGCCTCGTTCCTCATCTCGAGCATCTTGAGCTTAATAGCTGCTTGAGTCGTGAAGTCCGCGTGGTTAGCGCTTTCATGCCCTGCAGGCTTTGCAGTGCTTGCTGAGCAGTTCCGACACATGTATTGGCTGGATTCACCCCAAGCCGGCATGAGACTGAATCAGGTGTGGTCAGGTGTCGTCAGGTGTCCTCGGATGTCACGTGCCATGCAAAAGTTTTGCCTAAATTGAACATGCTGACGAGGTTTTATCTTTGAATTCCAGGTTGGAAACATTGCGGCCGCTCTGGCGGCTGGGCGTTATTTAACCCCTAGTCTATCCGCTTTTGTTGAAATCATGTTGTTTCATATATGTGGCTTCCAATCTTTGTGCTCCTGGGAGGGCCGCCCTCATGAAGCGTCCGCCATTTGAATTTGTGTGCGCTTGACACACTTTTGCCATACGTGCCTATTGTATAAGCATGCGCCTTTACAAATCTTCCTCCTATCACTTTTGGGCCCATGTTTTTTTGGTTTGGCACTGGAGAATCGCTTCCACTTTTTTTTGCAATGTTCTAAGTGGAACCAACGTGAAACGATGTCAGCAAACCCTCCCCTTCAGCAAGAATGGATTTGTCCCGAAACGCTGTGCCTACGATTTCCCACTTTGGCTGCAAAGGCTGTGTTGAGAGTGCCTGGGCAAGTGCACAGCACAAAGG